TGTTCTCTCCCTGTCTCCTCTCCTCTCTCTCTCTCCCTTTCTCTTCCTCTATATATTTCTCTCCTTCTCTCATCTCTCTCCTCCTCTCTGTATTTCTCTCTGTCTCTCCCTCTCTCCTTCCGTCTGTCCTCCTTCTATCCCCCTGAGTGTTCGTGTCTCTTTCCGTTCTCACATAAACACTGTAAACTGTGTAATGATGCTTCTCTGCGGCTCCCGTCCGTCTCACGCGCTCACAAACACCACTCCACTCCACTTTTATTCTTTCTTTTTCTGACGGTGAATCCTTGAAGACGTCACATCTGAAGACATTTATCTCACCACAGCACCGCACGATTATATAAGGAACCATTAAACGAGCTTTGATGGAAAATCTTTTATGTCTGAATCAAATAAAACACTTGTCATTTCACTAAAACGTCGTTAGATTTTATCATAAGATTTCCCTGATAATCTACCTTTTCATACCGCGCTTTTCCACCTTCGGGGCTCAAAAACGCTTTACATCCAAGGAGCCGCTCGCCCACTCGCTCGCAGGGGTGTCTTGCCCAAGGACACAACACCAGCATTCGTCTGTGGGAGCTGGAATCTCACCGCTGCCCCGCTGATGTTTAAGTCGAGAGTGGGAGCGTTTTTGGGGCAGCAGTGATGGTTCCGTATCTGTTTCCTAGCAACCATCAAGTTAACAAAGGCCAGTTCATTTAACAAATAAAAATAAATGACCTTTATGTCGTTAAAACTGAACGAACTTTAAAAATGCTTTATTAGGAGTTGATTGTGTTTTAGAACTCCTCCTGACTTCATATATGACATTAAACTCAAATGGACACGAACTCCTCCAGGTCAATCTACAAATCAGATCTGTGGAGAGGTGAGCCCTTTCACGGTAAGAAATGCATCGACCTAAACCCAATGCGTGATCAAGAATGAAAGCTTTTAAAAATCTGTTTAAACAAAAAAACTAAATTAAGTAACAGAATGAATGCAAGATGTGTTTATTTAATTTCTCACTGCGGAACATTCCAGGCAAAGCAATGACACGGAGACAAGCAGGTGGCTGTACGGGTGAGTTACACACATGTTTTAAGTGCACAAAGTGTGGGCGGGTCTTAGGTTTGTGTAGGCGGAGCTTGGATGTGTGTGGGACTTAGGTGTGTGTGTGTGTGTGTGTGTGTGTGTGTGTGTGTGTGTGTGTGTGTGTGTGTGTGTGTGGTGGGTGGGTGGGTGGGTGTGTGTGGGTGTGTGTGGGTGGGTGGGTGGGTGTGTGGGTGTGGGTGTAGGTGGGTCTAGGTAGGTCTTAGGTGTGTGTGTGTGGGGGTGTAGGTGGGTGTTGTGTGTGTGGGTGTCGGTGGGTCTTCGGTGTGTAGGCGGGTCTTAGGTGTATGTGGGCGGGTCTTGTGTGTGTGTGAGCGGGTCTTAGGTGTATGTGGGCGGGTCTTGTGTGTGTGTGAGCGGGTCTTAGGTGTATGTGGGCGGGTCTTGTGTGTGTGTGAGTGGGTCTTAGGTGTATGTGGGCGGGTCTTGTGTGTGTGTGAGCAGGTCTTAGGTGTGTGTGAGCAGGTCTTAGGTGTGTGTGAGCAGGTCTTAGGTGTGTTGTGGGGGTCTTAGGTGTGTGTGAGCGGGTCTTAGGTGTGTTGTGGGGGTCTTAGGTGTGTGTGAGCAGGTCTTAGGTGTGTGTGAGCAGGTCTTAGGGTGTGTGGGGGGTCTTAGGTGTGTGTGGGGTGGGTCTTAGGTGTGTGTGAGCGGGTCTTAGGTGTGTGTGAGCGGGTCTTGGGTGTGTGTGAGCTGGTCTTAGGTGTGTGTGGGGGGTCTTAGGTGTGTGTGAGGGTCTTAGGTGTGTGTGAGCGGGTCTTAGGTGTGTGTGAGCCGGGTCTTAGGTGTGTGTGAGCGAGGTGTGTTGTGGGGGGTCTTAGGTGTGTGTGAGCCGGTCTTAGGTGTGTGTGTGAGCCGGTCTTAGGTGTGTGTGAGCGGTCTTAGGTGTGTGTGTGTGTGTGTGGGGGTCTTAGGTGTGTGTGGGCGGGTCTTAGGTGTGTGTGTGAGCGGGTCTTGGGTGTGTGTGAGCGGGTCTTAGGTGTGTTGTGGGGGTCTTAGGTGTGTGTGAGTGGGGTCTTAGGTGTGTTGTGGGGGGTCTTAGGTGTGTGTGAGTGGGTCTTAGGTGTGTTGTGGGGGGTCTTAGGTGTGTGTGAGCCGGTCTTAGGTGTGTTGTGGGGGGTCTTAGGTGTGTGTGGGCGGGTCTTAGGTGTGTGTGAGTGGGTCTTAGGTGTGTGTGAGCGGGTCTTAGGTATGTGTGAGCAGGTCTTAGGTGTGTGTGAGCAGGTCTTAGGTATGTGTGAGCAGGTCTTAGGTGTGTGTGAGCAGGTCTTAGGTATGTGTGAGCAGGTCTTAGGTGTGTGTGGGCGGGTCTTAGGTGTGTGGGGGTCTTAGGTGTGTTGTGGGGGTCTTATGTGTGTTGTGGGGGTCTTAGGTGTGTGTGAGCGGGTCTTAGGTGTGTTGTGGGGGTCTTAGGTGTGTGTGGGCGGGTCTTAGGTGTGTGTGAGCGGGTCTTAGGTGTGTTGTGGGGGGTCTTAGGTGTGTGTGGGCGGGTCTTAGGTGTGTGTGAGCGGGTCTTGGGTGTGTGTGAGCGGGTCTTAGGTGTGTTGAGGGGGGTCTTGGGTGTGTGTGAGCGGGTCTTAGGTGTGTGTGGGCGGGTCTTAGGTGTGTGTGAGCGGGTCTTAGGTGTGTTGTGGGGGGTCTTGGGTGTGTGTGGGCGGGTCTTAGGTGTGTGTGAGCGGGTCTTAGGTGTGTTGTGGGGGTCTTGGGTGTGTGTGAGCGGGTCTTAGGTGTGTTGTGGGGGGTCTTAGGTGTGTGTGAGCGGGTCTTAGGTGTGTTGTGGGGGGTCTTAGGTGTGTGTGAGTGGGTCTTAGGTGTGTGTGAGTGGGTCTTAGGTATGTGTGAGCAGGTCTTAGGTGTGTGTGAGCAGGTCTTAGGTATGTGTGAGCAGGTCTTAGGTATGTGTGAGCAGGTCTTAGGTGTGTGTGAGCGGGTCTTAGGTGTGTGTGGGCGGGTCTTAGGTGTGTGTGAGCGGGTCTTGGGTGTGTGTGAGCGGGTCTTAGGTGTGTTGAGGGGGTCTTGGGTGTGTGTGAGCGGGTCTTAGGTGTGTTGAGGGGGGTCTTGGGTGTGTGTGAGCGGGTCTTAGGTGTGTGTGGGCGGGTCTTAGGTGTGTGTGAGCGGGTCTTAGGTGTGTTGTGGGGAGTCTTGGGTGTGTGTGTGTGGGCGGGTCTTAGGTGTGTGTGAGCGGGTCTTAGGTGTGTTGTGGGGGGTCTTAGGTGTGTGTGGGCGGGTCTTAGGTGTGTGTGAGTGGTCTTAGGTGTGTGTTGTGGGGGGTCTTAGGTGTGTTGTGGGGGGTCTTAGGTGTGTTGTGGGGGTCTTAGGTGTGTGGGCGGGTCTTAGGTGTGTGTGAGCGGGTCTTAGGTGTGTGTGAGCGGGTCTTATGTGTGTGTGAGCGGGTCTTAGGTGTGTTGTGGGGGGTCTTAGGTGTGTTGTGGGGGTCTTAGGTGTGTGTGAGCGGGTCTTATGTGTGTGTGAGCGGGTCTTAGGTGTGTTGTGGGGGTCTTAGGTGTGTTGTGGGGGTCTTAGGTGTGTTGTGAGCGGGTCTTATGTGTGTGTGAGCGGGTCTTAGGTGTGTGTGGTGGTGGGGTCTTAGGTGTGTTGTGGGGGTCGGTCTTAGGTGTGTTGTGGGGGTCTTAGGTGTGTGTGAGCGGGTCTTAGGTGTGTTGTGGGGGTCTTAGGTGTGTTGTGGGGGTCTTAGGTGTGTTGTGAGCGGGTCTTATGTGTGTGTGAGCGGGTCTTAGGTGTGTTGTGGGGGGTCTTAGGTGTGTTGTGGGGGTCTTAGGTGTGTGTGAGCGGGTCTTATGTGTGTGTGAGCGGGGTCTTAGGTGTGTTGTGGGGGTCTTAGGTGTGTTGTGGGGGGTCTTAGGTGTGTGTGGGGGGTCTTAGGTGTGTGTGTGAGCGGGTCTTAGGTGTGTTGTGGGGGGTCTTGGGTGTGTGTGAGGGGTCTTGGGTGTGTGTGAGCGGGTCTTAGGTGTGTTGAGGGGGGTCTTGGGTGTGTGTGAGCGGGTCTTAGGTGTGTGTGGGCGGGTCTTAGGTGTGTGTGAGCGGGTCTTAGGTGTGTTGTGGGGGGTCTTGGGTGTGTGTGGCGGTCTTAGGTGTGTGTGAGGTGTGTGAGCGGGTCTTAGGTGTGTTTGTGGGGTCTTAGGTGTGTGTGGGCGGGTCTTACGTGTGTGTGAGTGGGTCTTAGGTGTGTTGTGGGGGTCTTAGGTGTGTTGTGGGGGTCTTAGGTGTGTTGTGGGGCGGGTCTTAGGTGTGTGTGGCGGGTCTTAGGTGTGTGTGAGCGGGTCTTAGGTGTGTGTGAGCGGGTCTTAGGTGTGATGGGCGGGTGGTGTGTGTGAGCGGGTCTTAGGTGTGTGTTCTTAGTGTGTGTGAGCGGGTCTTAGGTGTGTTGTGGGGGTCTTAGGTGTGTTGTGGGGTCTTAGGTGTGTGTGAGCGGGTCTTAGGTGTGTGTGAGCGGGTCTTAGGTGTGTTGTGGGGTCTTAGGTGTGTGTGAGCGGGTCTTAGGTGTGTCTTAGGTGTGTTTGTGGGGGTCTTAGGTGTGTGTGGGGGTCTTGGGTGTGTGTGAGCGGGTCTTAGGTGTGTGTGAGCGGGTCTTAGGTGTGTGTGGGTCTTAGGTGTGTGTGAGCGGGTCTTAGGTGTGTTGTGGGGGTCTTAGGTGTGTGTGGATGGGTCTTGGGTGTGTGGGCGGATCTTAGTTGTGTGTGAGCGGGTCTTAGTTGTGTAGCGGGTCTTAGGTGTGTGTGAGCGGGTCTTAGGTGTGGGCGGGTCTTAGGTGTGTGTGAGCGGGTCTTAGGTGTGTTGTGGAGGGTCTTAGGTGTGTGTGAGCGGGTCTTAGGTGTGTGTGGGCGGGTCTTAGATGTGTGTGGGCGGGTCTTAGGTGTGAGTGGGCGGGTCTCAGGTGTGTGTGGGCGGGTCTTAGGTGTGATTGACAGCTAGGTTACACAGATGTGGTGCTCTCGGTGGTCCTGGTTTGACACTCCTGTGGTCTGTAGAAAGAAGTGGACAAAGGGAGTGTGACGTCACCCATAACGTTCGGCTCCAGTCAAATGAAGCTCACAGAGGTTAGCAGTTATATGGGCAAATCTGGGGTTCCGTAGTTGGACTTCCGATGCCGAGTATCACAGCAACCAAAGAGCCAATCAGGAGCAAGACTGTTGAAGGCAACATCGTGAAACGCAGCTCAGAGGAAAGGTGTGGGCGGGTCTTTGGAGTGGTGGGCAGGGTCTTGTGTTTGATTGACAGGTGTTTCACGCAGATGTTATGCACTCGGTGGTCCTGGTCTGGCACAGGCCGCACTCACAGCTCAGGGCAGAGGGGTAGCTGTAGTTCGGGTCGACGTTGGCGCCGCAGTCGGGCAGTTTGACGGTGACGAGGCGAGAGGAGTTGTACGTACAAACTCTCTGATACGAGTCGATGAACGGAGGGTCCACGATCGGCTTCTGAGGAGAGAAAGAGGAAAAGTTTATCTGGCAACTGCAAGCTCAAATGTGGTTTTAAATGAAAATGGAGAGAGGGAGGACAAAGAGGAATAAGGAGAGGAAGAGAAGACTGGAGAGATGAAGGGGAGGAGAGATGGAGTAGAAGAGGTGGTCGATGAACAGAGGCGCCACTATCGGCTTCTGAAAGAGAGAAAGAGGAGTTTATCTGGCAACCACAAGCTCCAGTGTGGTTTTAAATGAAAGGGAAGAGAGGGAGGAGAGGGTGACTCGAGAGAGGAGAGGAGGAGGAGGGAGAGGGGGACTCGAGAGTGGAATGGGAGGAGAGAAAAGAGGAGGAGAAAGGTGGTCAGTGGAGAACAGAATGGAATCAAAACACATTTTTCTTATAAATCTCAGCGTCGCTCTGTGGGACAAATGAGCTCATGGGCCCAGTTTGGCCCACGAGCCACCCTTTGGACACACCTGTTCAAGAAGCTTTTTAAATTGAAAGCATCTTTAGGAGGCGCTCTTTCTCTTTCTGTGGCTTTGTTCACATGCACCAAAATCTGATTCTAATCTGATTTCTGGACCTTTGAGCAGATTTAATGATGAGAGGAACCACGAACTGAAAGATGTTGTTTTGTTGTGGCCATAGCAGTTTGTCAAAACCTGATCTCGTCAGATGTCAGAGTTCAGCAGGGCCGGGTCTGTTTAATATTTGGACAGGAGACACTGGGAAAATCAGGTGCCACAGGAGGCGCTAGTCACAAAAACTGTTGTTGTGTGCTTAGGCAAGACACTTCACCCACATTGCCTAGTATGAAAGTGGAGTGTGTGAGTGATGGTGGTGGTCAGAGGGACTGATGTCTCTGATTGGCTGGCAGCCATGCTTCCATCAGTCTGCCCCAGGGCAGCTGTTTACTACCACCAGATGTGGAGTGAATGAATAACGCTCTGTAAAGCGAGACAAATGTCTCTGAAAAGCTCTATATAAATAAAACACTTACTTACTTATTTTATTATTCTAACTCGTTTGAGTGTGTGCGAGTAACTGCAGCTGCTGAAAACATTTGGGTTCACAGAACATTCAGACTAAACACCAGAGCAGCTCTAAACACCATGAAACAAACAGAAAGGTGCTTTAAAGACACATTGTGCTTTTGTGGAAGAACCGTGGAAAGACTCAGTGAAGGAAACAGTGAGAAGATGCTTCAATGCTGTAAAAAGTTCATTTAGCACAATTTGTACTTTGCAGTGACATCACGCTGGGGGTGTTCTGTAATTTCTATTGGCAAAATATTCAGCAATTTCCATAGTGACACTATGGTGACAGGAGCTCAGTTTGTCCACTGATCTGAAAGCTGGTGGTTCGAATCCGTCTCTCGACATAAACATCATTGGGTGAGCGGTCAGATCCACTGAGCCACAGGTTGGAGGTGCAATTCCAGCTCCCACAGATGAATGCTGTTCTTGTGTCCTTGGCTAAGACACTTACCACCCCCAGTGTCTGTGTACTCTGGTGTGTGAATGGGTGAGTGGTTCCTTGTTGTAAAGAGCTTTGAGCCTTGAAGGTGGAAAAGTGTTATATAAAATGTGATACAAAGTTTAAAGATTGTCTGAAGACTAAAGAAGAAGAAAGAATGTATTTAAACAGCATATTTTCAGGAGGCTGTGATCAGTGCGAGGGTTCATGGTCTTGTTGAGGTGTTTGATTTTCAACTAAAAGGTGAGAGTGACACACAACACAAACCATCTCATCTATTGTAGGTCCAACTAAGTCAGATCTTTCTGGTCTGTGTTCAAATAAAGATCAGATTAACATCTAACTTGAGTAACAGAGCTTCAGACAGAGCAGTGCTTTCAGTTAGCATCACACTGCCAGGGAGTGTTGATGACATCAGGTGTAGTAGCAGTAGATCCACTTTAATAGTTTAATATCAGTGCAGTGTTTTGTTTTTGTCACTTGAAAAAAAAATCCTCTTGTTTTCTCTTTTTAAATTTAGAAGCAAATGTTTTTTCCAAGTTAAAGTGAGTGAGTGTGTGTGTGCAGGTGTGTGTATATATATATGTGCGTGTGTATGTGCATGTGTGTGCAGGTGTGTTTGTGTATGTGTGTAATGTGAGTGTGTGTGTGTGCATGTGTGTAAATATGTGTGTGTGTGTGTGTGTGTGTGCGTGTGTATATATTGTGTGTGTGTGCGTGTGTATATATGTGTGTGTGTGCATGTGTGTAAATATGTGCGTGTGTGTGTGCGTGTGCGTATATATATATATGTGCATGCGGGTGTGTGTCTGTGCGTGTGTATATATATGTGTGTGTGTGTATGTGTATATATGAGTGTGTGTATGCGTGCGTGTGTATGTGTATATATGTGCATGTGTATGTGTATATATAAGCGTGTGTATATGTGTGTGTGTATATATGATCGTGTGTATGTGTGCGTGTGTATGTGTATATATGTGCATGTGTATGTGTATATATAAGCGTGTGTATGTGTGCGTGTGTATGTGTATATATGTGCATGTGTGTATATGTGTGTATATATGTGCATGTGTGTATATGTGTGTGTATATAGGGGTGTGTGTGTGTGTATATATAAGTGTGTGTGCATGCGTGTGTGTGTGTGTGTGTGTGCAGGTGTGTATATAAGTGTGTGTGTGTGTGTGTGCCTGCGTGTGTGTGTGCATGTGTGTATATATCTGTGTGTATGTGTGTATATATGTGTGTATGTGTGTAAATGTGTGCATGTGTGTGTATACATGTGCGTGTGTGTATGTGTATATGTGCGTCTGTGTGTGTGTGTGTGTGTGTTTATGTATAAGTGTGTGTGTGTGTGCAGGTGTGTATATAAGTGTGTGTGTGTGTGTGTGCATGCGTGTGTGTGTGCATGTGTGTATATATCTGTGTGCATGTGTGTATATATCTGTGTGTATGTCTATATATATGTGTGTAAATGTGTGCATGTGTGTGTATACATGTGCGTGTGTGTATGTGTATATGTGTGTATATGTGTGTGTGTGTGTGTGCGTGTGCGTCTCTGTGTGCGTGCGTGTTGTTTATGTATAAGTGTGTGTGTGTGCATGTCTCACCTCCCAGGTCTCGCAGCGCCCCCAGCAGGCGTCTGTGGTGATGTGCAGTCCTCCACAGCCCGGTTTTTTAGCCAGAAACGTGAACTCTCTGACCGCACAACCTGTGAAACGACGAAGATTCACCACGGAGGAGGACAGGAGAGGGGGAGCGACGGAGGAGAAGAGGAGGAGCAGGGAGAGGAGGGGGGGACTGGAGAGAGAGAAGAAAAGAGAAGAAGAGAAGGGATGATGGAGGAGGAGAGAGAAGGAGGAGGAGAGGAGAGAGGGAGGAGAGAAGACAGGGAGGAGGAGGAGGGAGAGAAGGGGTGGACTGGAGAGAGGAAACGAGAGAAAGAGGGACAGAGGAGAGAGAGGAAGAAAAGGGAGAGGAGAGAGTGACAAGAGAAGGGAGGATAAGAAAGAGAGGAGTGGAGCCAGATAGATGAGAGAGAGGAAAGAAAGGAAAGGGAGAGGAAAAAACTAAGGAAGAGGAGAGAGAACGGAAGTAGTGGAGAAAGAGGGAGATGAAGCAATAGAGGAGCAGGGATGGAGAAAAAGGAGAGAGAAGGAGGAGAAGAGAGGAGAGGGGAAATCAGTAAGAAAGACATGCAAGAGAGGAGGCAAAAGAAAGAGAGAAGGGGGAAAGCAGAGGAGGAGAGAAGACAGGTAGGGGAAAGAAGGGATGAGGAGGAGAGAAGTTAATTCAGTTTTGTAAAAAAAAAATAATAAAAAAAATAAAATCTAAATTAATATCACACATAAAAGCACGACATAAAAACAAAAAATAAATAAAATAAAATAAATACAAAAATATAACAAACCTTCCAAACTTCCTGAAGTGAATCCTCATCCTTTCTTTCTTCTTGTGCAGAAAAAGTGAAAAATAAAAGCTCCAGAGTCTGTTTCTTCTTGTGTTTAGCCCCAAACCTGCACCATTTATAACCTTCTCTCAGCTGTCAGTCAAACTGTAGCCCCGCCCCCCTGACCTGCAGCGCTCCTGCATGTCCCACTCCTCTTTTTTTCTCTCCATCCTTTTTTTATTCTCTGCCACTGCCTCTCTCCCTCTTTTTCAGTCCTTCTCCTTTCTCTCACTTTGCATCTCTCTCTCTCTTTTATTTCACTCTTCCACCTCCTCTTCTTATCCCTCTCTCTCTTTCACTCTTTCTCCTTCTCTCTTCCTAACCTCTATCTCACCCCTTTCTTTCTTTTTAATACTGTCTCTTTCCCTCTCTACCCCTTCGTCTCTCCTCCACCACCACTCCCTCTTTCTGGATCTCCCTCTCTCCTTCTCTCCCCTGTCTCTCTCTCTCTCTCTCTCTATTTCTCTCTCCCTCCTTCTCTCTCTCCGTCCATTTTCCTGATGAGGGGAAATCCCGTCTTTTGTGTAAACGTCTTGAGGTGGAACAGAGTTGGACTTTAGGTTCATCAGATCAGACGTGTCTCTGTTCAGACGTGTTTTCAGACTTCAGGAGGAGCGGGGCATTTTCTGCTTCAGATTATCAGCTTTTTGTGAAAGAAAAGACAGAATAATGACTGGAAAAAGCTGCACAAAACTTCAAGTATTTTTAATTTACTTTTCTTAGTCCCACAGCTCAGGAAAAAGCTTTTCATTAACTTAAAGATACACAAAAGTGACACTTGAGAGCTTTGAGTCATGTTCTAATGTTGTTACCTGGTTGACTGAACAGTCGGGCAAGTGACTTCCCATTGGCTTCAAAAGTGGTTTTCCACAACTGCATCGAGTTTGCAGTGAAGGCCTTTAGAGTCTTGTTGATATTGTACAACTCCAATCACTCAGTGATCTGTGTCCAGGTTCTGCATGGGCGACTGTTAAGGGTGATCTATCTATCGATAGAAGGTCACCTGTTAGCTCCCTTTTTCATGAGTGAATTTTACTGGTCAATCTTTGTTCCTCCCCTCAGTTATGGTCATGAGCTTTAGGTAATGACCAAAAGGACGATATCGTGGATACAAGCGGCTGAAATGAGTTTCCTCCACAGGGTGTCTGTGTGCTCACTTAGAGATAGGGTAAGGAGCTCAGCCACATGGGAGGAGCTTGGAGTAGAGCTGCTGCTCCTTCACATGGAGAGGAGCCAGTTGAGGTGCCTCGGGCATCTGCTCACCTCCCTCGAGAGGTTTTCAGGGCATGTCCCACCTGGAGGAGGCCCCGGGGAAGACCCAGGACACACTGGAAGGACTATGTCTCTGGGCTGGCCTGGGTCCCCCCGGAGGAGCTGGAAGAAGTGTGCATGAGAAAAGAAGTGTGGGAGTTCCTGCTTAGACTGCTGCCTCTGCAACCTGGCACTGGATAAAGTGGAAGAAAATGGATGGATGGATGGGTCCATCACCTGCGTATTTCTATGGATGTCATTGCTCTGAAAAGTTTAAACTTAAAAGAGGAGGAGGAGGCAGATAACGAGTGAATGGCAGATTTGTGCATATATTTTGGGGATTTTTTTGTTGTTGTTTTTTTTTTATTCAATTACAGGCGGTTTTATAGCTCAAAAATACCTAGAAAGCCTCTCCATAGATCTGACCTGTAACTTGGTCTGGTTTGGTCTCCACACTGATAGAAAGGTTTAATATCATACTGTGAAACATTCCAGACAAAGTAATAACATCTGCATGGAGAAAAGCATTTGACAGACCCTCCACCAGAAATGTTACACAATGCACCTTTAAGATAAGATGTCCTTGTAGAGAAACGTGGGACCAGCTCCAGATCTCGAGCTGGTCTTGGTTAACTGGAGGATTTGACCTTTTGTGAATGTTTTCAGAAAATGTTATGGTTTCACAAAATACTAGTAGTAATAGTTAGTGAGGTCACTTGCTTGTCTCCATGGAGATTGCTCAGTTTATGCCATTTTGTGGAACATTCCAGGCAAAACAACATCTCCAGGTTTCAAACTCTTTCCCTTGAGGACTTGGGACCATTTAAAATACAGTTTTCTGGTCCATGTTTTAATGTTGTTATGTTGTTACGTGTTTTGTTTCATTCACACATGTTTAACACACTCTGTGCCACCTTGTGATGTCATGTGATAATACAGGAAGTGCTCCACTGTGTTTTTAACTCCATACACCTTCACTAGAATCATCTGAATGTTTTTTTCAGCTCTGGAAATACCGATCTCTACTGAACTAAAAGGTAAAAGTTCACTTGAAAACCACTGCTTCATGACATCACGAGGTGGAACAGAGCATTTCGAGCTTTGGAGATGTAGACAGACTAATAATAAAGAGCTACACAAACATTTATGAATGAAACAAACACAAGTCCAGGTCTGTTTTTCAAAAGTTTCCAACTTTAGAACATGACCTTTTCCTTTTCTCTGTTGCAAGTTTCACCAGTTAGATCAGTCGCTTGTGTGCTGTGTTTTGATTGGTTGGCCTGGTTCTGTTGCCATGGGCCCTGGGTGGTTACACATAATTACAGGGTGATTTTATTAAACATATTTTTGCTCTTAGTTCATACTTCACTAAATAAAGGCTTTATTTTGACCAAGTGTTAATCACACGTCAAGTCCTGCAGCGCTGTCATTATTTTTGATGTAGTTCGCAAAAAATACTGACAAAGATAATTTACTTAGTTTCTAAAATAAAAAATGTGGAGCGTAATAATTGAGGAGGATGTTGGTTAAATTCCAGCTAACAGTATTGCGGTGTTCTTGTGCCTCTGGGCAAGACACCCATCATCAAACTTTAATACTATTAAAAAATATATAGTTTGTTGTATCAGTGAATCCAAATTAAAAAGGCGTTTATAGTGCAGGGGGCTTTAATTGTATTCAGTCAGTACTTTATATTAATACTTCTTCAAATGCAAGAAGTAAAACCAACCTTGTATTTGAAGAATATATGTGTAAGCAGCAGCAGCAGCAGCAGCAGCAGTGAGTTGTTCTTCCTGATAGAAAGTTTGGCAGCGTCGGACTGATATATGAGAAAATAGTCCCTCAACATGCGACGATTCATGTGATGCAAGGTTAGTTTTATTTCAAACATTAATTTTATTGGCACAGACATTCACATGGTGTAATAATAGATTTGTTTGGGGTGTTTTGTGGAGTGGGTAAGACTGTTTTTAGTGGCAGAAGAACTATGACCATTGACATGCACTAGTCTAACACCAGTGACCTCTGCAAATACAAGGACTGGATGGAATATTTCAAAAAGTGTCTCCACACGTCTCCAACACTCTGGAATATGAGGAAGTGAGGCCCTATGTGTCCAAAATCCCAAACTGTCCCTTTAATGTGATACTGTGGAACATTCCTGGCAGAGCAGGAATAGAAACAAGCAGGTGATGGACCCTCCCCCAGAAAAGTTACACAAGGCAGGTTTAAATAACAAAACAAACCCATCTATTCAACACCAGAGCCTTTACAAAAGAGTGGACTCACACTTTGGTACAAACAGATTTTAATGGAAGAACAGGTAAGTGACAGGTGAGCGACAGGTGCGTGACAGGTGACAGGATAAAGTGCAGCTACAAATACATTTAAAACAGACACGACAAGTTTAAATCATTAACTTCATAAAAACAAGAGGACACTTTCCCCAAATTTCAAAATAGTTCTGGGTCACCGTTTTTAACCTGGTTTTCAAATCTTATCATCACTTGTACCTCTGAATATAACTGAATAATAATAAAACAAAAACAGAAATATGTATTGTCATTAAAACATGTCAATAATTAAACTAAATTATTGACATGTTTTTGGACAAACATTTATTTTGAAAAGGTTTAAATAAATTGCATCTAATTTGAGTTTCTTTTCAGAAGTCTCATGTTAAAGGTGCACTGCGTAACTTTTTGGCTGGGGGTCCATCACCTGCTTGTTTCTATGGAGATGTCACTGCTCTGCCAGGAATGTTCCACAGTATCACATTAAAGGGACAGTTTGGGATTTTGGACATATAGGGCCTCATGCCATGGCATTAAACAGCTCTACTTTATATTTATTCAGTTACAAGTGTTTTTAAAGCTCAAAAACACTAAAATTAACAAATATTCTGACTGTGAGTGGGGTCACCTCTCCACAGATCTGGTCTCCATGAAGACAGAAAGGTTTAATGCCATACTGTGAAACATTCCAGACAATGACAGGCAATAACATCTCCATGGTGAAGAGCATTTGATGGACCCTCCACCAGAAAAGTAGCACAGTGCAGCTTTAAGATCATATTGGCACCAACTCATTTACATTATAGTTTAATCTGTTATAAATTACAAGATTTAGTTAGAAAATTTCACTTTGGAAGAACAAATATTTCTATAATTACAATTTCAAAACATAATGAATAACAGTCAACAATAACAACAAAATACACAAAAGTGAAATATAAACTTCAAAATTAAACTTTTAAAGGTTATTACTGTGTTTGGCAAAATACTCAGTACAAAATGGTGATACATGTAGGAACTATTAAAGCAGGTTTACAGAAAGATTCATGTACATAAAGATAATACTGAGATCAGAAAAAGAATTAAGATGGGAGTAAAGTTCAGGTTTGGAGAGGCAGACTAAACCAGGACTAAATCAGGACTGAACCAGGACTAAACCAGGACTAAACCAAACATAAACTAGGGTTAAATCAGGACTAAACCAGGATTAGATTAGGTCCAAACAAGAACTAAATTAGGACTAACCCAGTTGTAAACCATATTTTAAAACTAGATTAAACTAGTAAACCAGGACTGAACCAGAACTAAACTAGGACTAGATCAGGTCCCACCAAGAACTAAACTCTGTTTAAAAGAGGACTGAACCAGGACTAAACCAGTGCTAACCTGATCTAAACCAGTAGTAAACCATATCTAACACTTGAATAAATCATCAAACCAGGACTAAACCAGGTCTACACAAGGTCTAAACCAGGACGAAACCAGGTCTAAACCAGGACTAAACCAGGATGAAATGAGGATGAAACCAGGACTAAACCTCGTCTAAACCAGGTCTATACAAAGTCTAAAGCAGGTCTAAATCAGGTATAAACCGGGTCTACACAAGGACTAAACCAGGACTAAAGCAGGTCAAACCAGATCTATATAAAGTCTAAACCAGGTCTAAACCAGGTCTAAACCAGGACTAAACCAGGACTAAACCAGGTCTAAACCAGGTCTAAACCAGGTCTGGAACACTGGTCCCGTCTGCTCCTCCAAATCCAGAATCTACAACACTTAAATCTGATCAATGGAAGCTAAAAAAATGTGGATTTATTTTGGCAGTAAACATTAAGAGACGACATTCAGACAAATAAACTTCTGTTATGAACCACGTCAACTGAAAACTTCTCAAACATGTGTATAAAGTAAAGCAGAGTACACAAAGTACACAGAGCAGAGCTAGTGTCAGGTCTGTGGAGGAAGAATGCATTATCCAAATGTAGACACTGGAAGTTTTGTAAATAAAGTTATGGCACGAGATCCACTGCAGTCAAAAAAATCAAACCTGGAAGACCAACTTTATAAACTGCAAAAAAATTCTAACGGAACAATTTATACAAGAAATAAAATCACTTGAATTCAGAAAAAAGGCCAAGAACACTGAATGTGATTATAATATCTGCTGATTTTTGGATTTTCGTCATCTGATCGGTGTCGGCGGCAAGGTATTTGAGGGTCGTGCCCCTCCTAGCGGCCACTGCTGCCCCACCCCCCAGCACAGGCCGTTATTATGACTATTTAAAAATGATTTTGATTGGCACATTTCACTTTGGGCTGAGGGCACAAACTTTAGCGCCCAGACCAATGACATCACAGTCTGTTTATTTAGTGCAGTGTGATTGGACAACTGTCCTGTCACTCACGTCACGTCAACCTGCTGCGTCAACTTGTAGCTGCTTCACGATTAGCGGCAGCTGCTACTTTAGCCTAAAGCTCCACACAGGAAATGGCGAGAACAGAGTCAAAGACACTGACAGACCCGCCGCCGGGACCGGGACTGTCGCTACCGCTGCTGGGGCCGGGACATTCGCCGCCGGGACAGGAGACAATCGCTGCCGGGGCTGGGTCAGTTGCCACCGGGCCGGAGCTCTCGCTGCCGCCGCTGGGCCAGGCAGAGGATAAAGTCTATCCGCCTTTGCCCGCTCGTTTCTGGGTGTAAAAGTTTGACCGTAGCGCAGAGGCAGAAGTCTACCTGGTGTCTCAGTGCTAATATGGACTGGTGTAACTTTCAGATTTAAGTAGCAAGCGGGATTAAGTTTTAGTTTTACAACCAGCTCGTGCATTCGGCTCCCGGACCTGTGTCACGGACCTGACTGGACCAGGATTGGACCAGTTTCATCTCTTCATATTGGACAATAGACTTTAGGAGACAGAACCAGCGGGACAGTGGACAGAGGAAACACTCTGCTCATGGAGCCTCACAGGTAAAGAGTGTTATAGTGTTAATAGTGCGTAAATGAGCTGGTGTGTGATGGAGCTGCTCTGGTTGTTCTGTCGTGTGCTGTAGGAGCGGCATCTATGTTCATGTTGTGATCGTGGCCTCTTATTGTAGTTTTGTTGACGTTGTTGTGTCTGGGTGTGAGCACCGTGTTACATTGTGTTATTGCGTAAAGTTTGTGCTTGGCTGTTCATTGTGCTCTGACAGATATAGTTCAACCAATAGTAACCAAAATATTCACAATATATATTTATAATTTTGGCCTTTGTGCCCCTCCCAAAAATTATACCACCATTTTTTTATTTTTATTTTTTATATATCTCACATCAGGAGAAGTGTGTGGACGGTGTACCCTCGTGTACCACGCTCACTACAGCCCTGGTGCTGCCCGATGTGTGGCTCTTTCTTACCCGATTGCTTCTTTCAATGATGTTGTTCAGGTGTTTTTGACGAGAGGCTGTTGTTTAATGTTTACAACCAGTGGCAGGCCTTATTGTTTTTTAATAAATCTCAACCTTTTATTATTGTCTTGTGTGCGTATTGTCTACCACACAACCTCAACAACTATTGCAGCTAATAATAATAATAATCATAATAATGATAACAACAACAACACATAATTAGCCTTATACTGTTAAAGAAAAACGTGTTTGATAGTTGATTTTTTGCTTTGTATGAAAATATTTCTCAAATGGCAGTGCCCCCCCTGCTGCTGACCCACGACCCTCCAGTAGATGTGCTCTGACGCCGACTCTGCATCTGATTTTGACCAAAGAGATGTTATTGCTTTGCTAGAATGTTCCACAGTATGGCAATAAACTCATCCACGCTATAGTCACACAATCAGGTCAAGTTACAGGTCAGATCTGCGCAGAGGCGATCCCACTCACAGTAAAAACGAAATGTTCGTTAAAGTACTTTGAGCAATATAATAACACCAGAAATTAACAATAAAAATGAAATGCCAGACTGTGAAACATAAACATCTCCACGGAGATGAGCAGACAACAGATCCAGCACCAGAAAAGTTACATAGTGCAGCTTTAAAGGTAAACAGAACTGAAAACGTCCAAACAGAAGAGACAGAAAGTTATAATATTCTGAATTCAAGTGATTTTAACTAAACACGATTTTACCTTTTGTAAACGTCAAGTCCAAAATTCTATGATTTTTAACCAGAAAAATAAAGTACATTTAGATGAGTAAAAATGGGCAGTTTGTGAGGAATGGCAGTTTGAACAGTTCATAAATGTAAAAATGTGATATAAGAGAATACTGTAAGAATCTTCATCTAATATTGGCAACTGTAAAAAAAAATGTAAGGATTATAACTTTCAAGAATGCTTCAAATTTGAATTCTTTGTAGAAAAAAAAAAAAAAAAAAAAGAAGAAATTACCGTCAATGAAAAATGTGCTTGTAAACACGTCAGTTTTATATTACAAAAAAGAAAACTGGTTAAATAATTATCTTCAGCAGCACCTCTAGAATTTTATTATTTTATTTGTACAAATGGATTTTTATTTCAAAATCTTGGTGCTAAGAAAAAAAAAGTTAAACATGTTGTAGTTGTGGTTTGAGTCCTGGTTTAAGTCCAGGTTTTAGTTGTGGTTTTAGTCGTGGTTTAGTCCTGGTTTAGTTTAAGAGCCAGTATATCAGAGGGTTTGTGTATATTTCTGGTTTTACATAAGGTTTAGACACACAAGTTTGTATTTACAATAGACGAGGACCAGAACAGGACCAGACCAGACCAGGACTAGACCAGGGACTAGACCAGGGACTAGACCAGGGACTAGACCAGGGACTAGACCAGGGACTAGACCTGGAACTAGACCTGGACTAGAAGAGGATTAGACAAGGACTAGACCAGGGAGTAGACCAAGACTAGACAAGACCAGGAAAAGACCAGAACTAAACCAGAACTAAACCAGGACTTAACCAAGAACCAGACCACAAACTAGACCAGGACTAGACCAGGACTAGTGTGAGACAGACCGTTGAAGGGAACACTTGGGTGAGACGAGGCCACTGAGAGTCACTAGTCACGAGATTCGTACAACAACTTTGCCGCCTGAAAAAAAAAAAAAAAATTTAAAAATATTTTGTTTATTGTATCAGTGAATCCAAATTAAAAAGGTGATTATAGTGCAGAGAGCTTTAATTTTATTCAATCAGTATTTTGCAGTAAAAATTCAGACACTAACAGATCCTAAAACTTGAATTGAAACTAGATCCTCATTTGAGCAGGTATTGATAATAGAAAAGTCACACTGACAGGACAGACATGAACCTTTCCATGGAGCACTGAGGGATTACACAGATCTACTACATTTAATCTAATCTATTTAAGTATTAAAGTCATTTAAAAATGTAAAGAGTAAAAACTAAAAATATTTTGTGTGTATTTTGAGATCTTACAAAGCTTCAAATGTTTTGATTTTAATAAAGAATTGCATTTTTGAATTGTTTTCACTCGAAACAGTTACAATATAATTGTTTCTTTTCCCAGCTGTTTCTGCTTGAGACAGTAATAAAAAATACTTTTATCTTGAAGTCCTGTTCAAAAATGTACAGTGAAGTAGAAAGTACAGATACCTGCTCTCAGATGTAGTGAAGTAAAAGTAAAAAGTATCTATCTTAAAATCTTCTTAAGTACAGATAACTTTTTTTTTAAATTTTTTTATTTAAAAGGTGCACTGTGTAACTTTTCTAGTGGAGGCTCCGTCAAAAGCTTTTCTCCACTATTATTATTGTTTAGTCTGGAATGTCTCACAGTATGGATTAAACCTTTCTTTCTATCATCATGGAAACCAAACCAGACCAAGTTACAGGTCAGATCTGTGGAGAGGCGACCCCACTCACAGTCTGAAAGAAAGAGTTATAAAACCACTTGTGATTGAATAAATGTAAAGTAGAGCTGTTTAATTTCACACTGTGGAACATTCAAGACGGAGCAATGACATCTCCATAGAAACAAGCAGGTGATGAACCCCCAACCACAAAGTTACATAGTGCACCTTTAAGCACAGTACTTTACTACTTTTACTTTGTTACATTCCACCACTGGCAGTAGCAGTAGTATTGGTAGTAGTTGTAGCAGTAGTGTCTGTATTACCTTGTGCATAGCAGCGAGCCACTGTGCTGCCCCCTTGTGGTCAGGAGCCGTGTCCAGTCTGAGCGTCTGAGAGTCCTGAGAGCCCATGGGTTTGTACTGCACCAGGAGACCACTGGCCCTGGCCCCTGCTCCTACAGAGGACGAAAAAACTGCTATGAGAGGGACAAATACAGGGACTAAAGCTGGCATCACTAACACAGAGAGAGGTCAGAGGAGAGAGAGAGAGAGAGAGAGGGTGGACGAGAAATGACTGAAATAACAAAAAAAAAGTGAAATAAAAAGGGAAAAATGTCTAAATATAGTGTCTGTGAATTGACCCTTTAAAATAAATCATAATTTTCAATAACTGATTAACAGATTTAAATGATGATTAGCTGGAAATGCTGATTGTTTGACATTATAACAAAAATAAACACCTATTTTAAATTTCCACGGTTCACATTAGGGCCCGACCGATATGGATTTTGTTGTGGCCGATATGATACCGATAAAATGTCCGTTGGAGCTGCCGATAGCCGCTATAATCGCCGATATATTTAGTGATGTAAAAATTCACTGTAAATCTTGCATTGTTTAAAAAACTTAGGTTTGGCTCACTAAAAGCAGCTGGCTCTTTCGGTTCCCAAGCGGCTCTTCAGGTTCTTTTGTTGCAAGCAGGACTAAACCAGGTCTGAACCAGGTCTGAACCAGGTCTGAACCAGGTCTGAACCAGGTCTGAACCAGGTCTGAACCAGGTCTGAACCAGGTCTGAACCAGGTCTAAAGCAGGTCTAAAGCAGGTCTGAAGCAGGACTGAACCAAGTCTAAACCAGGACTGAAAAAGGACTAAACCAGGACTAAAACAGATCTAAACCATGTGTAAAACAGGACTAAACCAGAACTGAACCAGGACTTGAGTGTCGGGACTCGGGCTCGAGAGAGGGAGAGAGATAGAGACCAAGATTAGTCCTGGTTTACTTATTTTACACTGAACTATAGAAAACAGCCTGTTTATGTATAAACCGATTGTCCATAAAAAGAATATAATCAAGTGTTGCGCACATGGATCTGTGTCTGCGGGTGTAAACAAGAACACATGAGTGACGTGTGTTCAGGGACAGTACGGACACACACAGACAAATGACTCTACAGATAAATACTGATGTGGAGCCACAAATTTGGACATTTATCTGTCTGTAAATTGGATTAAATCAACATAATATAGAGAGTCTAAGCTTTATAACGACGTATAACATGCCCACGTGAAATATCAGCAAGATTTAGGCTGATTGGCGATATGTTTCTGAGTGCCCATATCGGCTGATAATATCGGCCAACCGATATATTGGTCGGGACCTAGTTCACATGTTAGTTCATTTGCTTCTCTGTACAGAAGGACAGAAAAAATACAGTTTTCTAACCTCAAAATTGTATTTAAAGGTGCAACTTTTCTGGTGGAGAGTCTGTCAAAATGCTTTTCTCTGTGGAGATGTCATTGCTCTGTCTAGAATGTTCCACAGTGTGACATTAAACAGATCTACTTTACATTTATTCAATTACAGGTGCTTTTATAGCTCTTCCTGACTGTGAGCGGGGTCGCCTCTCCACAGATCTGATCTGTAACTTGGTCTGATTTGGTCTGTGTGAAGATAGAAAGGTTTAATGTCATACTATGAAATATTCCAGACAAAGCAATAAAAGGAAAACATTTGATTGACCCTCCACCAGAAAAGTTACACAATGCACCTTTACAACTGTTATGGACATGAATAATTATAATATTATGAATAAATTCCATATTTAAACTTTTATATAATTGTACTTTGTTGTACAATAAAACGACAATGATCGAGCAGAGGTCATGATGGATGAGTAGCTTTTTGTACACAGTTTGGCGATTATTTTTGTTGCTGATTCTCACAATTATATCAAAAGTTGTATATAAAAAATGAAATATTGTGAAATATTGAAAGTGGAACCATAAACACAGAGACAGAATCAAACCTTCGTAAAGACACTGACTCTCCATCAAACTGGTGTAAGTGTGAACCTCCTCCTCTGCAGCAACACACACACACAAAAGAACATACAAGGAAAGAAAAGGGAGACGGAGGGAGGGAGAGAGGAGAGAGATATGAGAGAGAGAGGGGGGAAAATAAAGAGAGGAAAAGAAATGAAAGATGAAAGCGGAGAGAGCAAAAAGATAAGGAGGGAGTGTGTGCAAGGGAGTGAGGAGTGAGAGAGTGTAAAAGAGAGAAGGGGAAAAAGGAAAGATGCAAGAGGGTGAAAAAAGAGAGAGATAACAAAAAGGGTTAAGAGATGACAAAGGGGGGTGGAGTTAAGAGTAAATAAGAGTAAAGAGGAGAGAGGGAAGAGAGAGAGAGCAAAAGGGTTAGTTAAAGAAAAGATTTAAGTGCTTAAGTTGAGCAAATTAAAAGATCTGTTAGAACAGACATGTCAAAACTATGGCTCGGGGGCTAAATGTGGCCCTTAGACCATTTTTTTGGCCCTGAAGCTTCTAGGTGAATTGGCCCAAATTATTTTAAGCAGAACTTTTACTCGAAGTGTTTTTGATCTTGATAAATCTGATATTAAATACTTGTGTGTGCTATTGAGCTTAAATAAAGGAGCCCCAGTCTATGGCCCTACATCATCCCTCTGCTTCACTTGTGTTTTGATCCTTGATGAAAAAGTTTGGACATCCCTAGACACAAGAAAGCACTACCCTGTCCTGTTTTATTTACTGTATAAATATGTACAGTGGTCCTGTTTACCTCCTGGACTGAACCCCTCAGATTACAATTTGATATTTAAACAGGTTTTTGGTTTATTATTTACATTGATGGTAGTTCTGTTTACCTCCTGGACTGGAGCCTTCTGTGAGCACCTGGATACTGGAGATACGAGTCAGCTCCACCTCGAAGTGACTCTCTCCATCCAGAAACAGGTATCTGAGAAATACATAATCTATTTATAAAAGAAACATGACACATGCACAGGAACTTGTCTCACATCGGGACTGAAATATGGTCTTAACATCTAATACACAAAGAGTGTTTTTGTATGATGTTATATAAAGGATGTAAAGGATGCATGGTTTATAAAGTAAGGATAACTTTAGCAAGATGTTTGAAATGAAAAATGAAATCTGATCAGTGTGTTGTGGGAAATGCCACTTGTTTCAGCTTGAATTTATCAGACAGTTGTCATTACAGAGAGTCTGAAGTTGGACTTTTGGGTTTCTCGTCAAGTCATTAAAATCAACAGCATAGTTCTGTTTTTCACCTGTGGTTGTTTGAAAGGCGACATGTCATAGTTTCTGTTTTGTCTGAAGTTCCCAAAGTCACAATGAATGTTCCTCCTGCAACAACACAACACAAAACTGTGTTACAACTACAATATAACAAAATATATATTAACACAACTCAGGAGCACAACAGATGCTTTAATTTAATGATAAAAAACATCATGTCACTGATGTTATTTCACTGATAAGTAATGGAATTATTATGAGTACTCCAACAATTAATCTGATGATTTAAAACTAATCAAAGGGGTAAAATACAACAAAGCATCATTTAAAGTTGCACTGGGTCACTTTTGTAGTGTAGGGACATCACTGGCTTGTCTCCTGCCTGTAAAGTTCCAAAGTATTGCATTAAACCTATCTATCTCCATGGAGACAAGCAGGTCACAGCACCGGACCAAGTCACAGGTCAGATCTGTGAAGAGGAGAGCCAGCTCACATGATTTTCAAGGCATTTCTGAACAACAAAGACACTTATTGTAATTTAAATAACTTTATGCCATTCTGTGAAATACTCTAGGCAATGGAGATAAGACAGGAATGTGGTGAGAGCAAAAAGTGACACAGTGTGGCTTTAATAGTTACATAAAACAATAATAAGTTGCAGCCTTATTTCTCATGAGTAAAACATAAACATATATATTGACAGTTCTTGTTGCGTTACCTCCGAGCAGCACTTTGAGCTGTTTTTCGTAGAACTCGGCCTCTCTCTGCGACGCAAGGCTGCAGGCGGAACACTGTCTCACCGGGTCCACGAAGCACATGCGCGGCAGGGGAAGCTTTTTACTGCAACACTTATCGCAGAAACACCGGCCGCAGCGACGGCAGTGGTGCTACGGGGGGCGCCAGAGAGACACAGGTCAGAAACACACACGACAACAGAAACAACAGCTCAGAGCTCTACAAACACGCTGTCAGATGCCCTCCCCCGTGTGTCAGATGCCCTCCCCCGTGTGTCAGATGCCCTCCCCCGTGTGTGTCAGATGCCCTCCCCCGTGTGTGTCAGATGCCCTCCCCCGTGTGTGTCAGATGCCCTCCCCCGTGTGTCAGATGCCCTCCCCCGTGTGTGTCAGATGCCCTCCCCTGTATGTGTCAGATGCCCTCCCCCGTATGTGTCAGATGCCCTCCCCTGTAAGTCAGATGCCCTCCCCGTGTGTCAGATGTCCATCATTTTTATTTCATTATTAACTATTTTATGTAGTTTTTGTTTTTCTCAGATTAAAGTTTAACAGAACCTTAAAAAAAAATAAAAATAAAAGCTAAGACCTTTCTCCTGATGAAGTCGAACTTGGTGTCACACTGCATACATCTGGAACACTGCACAGACAGGAAGCGTTGAAGGGAGAGAGAGAGAAAGAGGGAGGGAAGAGAAAGGGAAGTGAAAAAACAGATCATCAAAAACACAGACTGGACATTTCAGTTATTTTAAATTGTTCCAAACAGAGCTGAAGACCTTTAGTCATTTTACTGATTAATCCTTTTATTTAGATGACAAAGATTTCTATGGGACCACAACAAAAAGGAGAAGCATGAGTAAGCTGAAAATTTGGCATTTATCCGTAAAATGTCAACTTAAACTCAAGATTCACAGGTTTAATCTGGCTGTAATAAGTTCACAGATAACTTCAATACGGACGATAAAGCCGTTTTAAAGCCTTGAGGGAATCAGTGCAGTGTGACTTATTGGTGCAGATGAACACTGAACATTTTACACAAATGAACCGACTTTATGTCATGTTTAAGATGTAAAACGTTTCCCAAACTAACATGAATGGGACCAGAAGTGCCACCACAAGAAAGCGCGGTTTAGGAGCGTTTAGAGTGGGCAGGGCAGAAATATACAGTTTCCTAGTAACCTTTTCTGCATAAATAGTCATTTTTGCAACCCTAACCCTGCACGTGTAGTCTTGAGAGTGCACTTTGGGTCAGATAAACAGAGATATGTAATAGTTTTGAGCGCTTTTGCCACGTCCACTTTTTAGTTGCCCAAGCAAACAGCAGGACATGTCTTTAGTCCAACAAGAGTTTATTTAGTCGACTACAGCCCTGGTACCAAGTTGGACTGACATTTTGAAACTGTCATGATTCAGGCAACTTTAGTTTGAGCAAAACAGTCCGTGACAAAAACAGTTGGTGACAAATAAACATTTAACACATGGAGCAATTCTGAACAAAGAGCAGCTCTGAGGACAAAGAAGCACTCAATAATAATAATAGAAAAAAAAACTATACAGAGAATTTAAAAGGCAAATGTCAGCTGGAATTAAAGATTTCAAATACTTATTGAATTTTGAATAGGGGACAACATAGCGAAGGCCTGAAGGCAATCAAAAAACTCACTTTTTAATATGTAACATTTGTGGTCAGAGCTTTGTCCATTTGTCCAGCCTTTGTTTGAGTTTCAGTGGATCCGTTTTTAAGCCAAAACAAACATTAAACTGAACTGAACCCGGCTCTTCACACTGCTGATGGAGGTTTACATGTTCTCCCTGTGTCTGTGTGTTTCCTCTGGTACTTCTACTACTGACGCAGATTTTCCACTGTGTTTTTAATCTACTCCACCCGGCTTCACTTGAATCATTTGGATGATTTCACTTCTGGAATTGCCAATCTCTACTGAAATAAACTGTAGGTCTTAATGTGAATACTACCACTACATGACATCACGAGGTGGAACAGAGCATTTTGAGCTTTGGAGATGTAGACTATTAATAAAAGTGTTACTCAAACATATGTGAATGAAACAAAATATAACTTCAGATCTGTTTTTGAGGACGTAACATTATAACATGGCTTAAAGCTCATACGAGTCAGTTTTGCGTATTATAGGACCTTTAAAATCAATGCCAGTGAATATATTAATGGAATAAAAGTAGTTAGGAACAGTAGTTGTACTGTTAGAAACTAGTGATGCACTGATTCTGATTCTGACAAAGGCACTGTACAAGATAAATAACTTTCACATCATATAAATTGTATAAAAGGTTAACTGTGTTTTTCAGTCCTTGCACAGATAATCAGGAATCAGAGCGGAAAAACAGAAACAAACAAAATCTGAATTGATACATTTCTACTTAGAACTTGAAATTATAAATACCAATATGGCCTGCTAATGCTACTACTACTACTATGACTACTACTACTACTGCTACTATTACTACTAACTACTATAACTACATATCTTCATGGACCTAGTACAACTGTAACTACTACTACAGCTACCACTACTGCTACTACTACTGCTGCTGCTACTATTACTACTACTCTTACTGCTGCTACTACTACTGCTAGTACAAATACATACCTCTATGAACCTATTACAACTATAACTACTGCTACTCTTACTGCTGCTACTACTACTATTACTGCTACTGCTACTGCTGCTACTGCTACTGTTACTACATACCTATGGACTTAGTTCAACTAGAGCTATAATTACTACTACTACTACTACTACTACTACTACTACTACTACTACTACTTACAGTTACAAGAACCATAATTACTCTTGCAGATGCCATTTTTTTCTAATAATAATATGATACATAATATGACACCTACTGGTAACATTAGTAGTCTTCTTTCTACACCCAAATAGTAGAAAATTACTATAAAACGCAAAGTAGTAACAATACTGCAGTAGTAGTAGTACATTCAGACATGCACAAACAATTGACATGTGATTTTATTCTCCCTTGTACTAGAAATTTAAATATTTAGCTTAAGAAAGTTGGTCTGATAAGCATGTAATTTAATTAAAATAAGACAAATATTCAATTGTAAACTCATGTATTAGCTTAGACTGTCAGTTTTTGAGTTCTTTCTCCACTATAGCTTTGATAAAATTATTAAAACTTGATGCAGTTCTTATGGGACTTGGCTCTGCACAGGAGAGGCACTTTTTCTCAGATAAATAAGCTGAAATTTCAGTGTTTTTGGTCAGATTGTGCAGCTGCGTGGCTCTGAGTAAAAACGCCCAATATCTACACTAAAAGTGGCAAGAGACACGAGAACACACAGGAAATACACTAGGAGAACTTCAGAATAAAACACACTCAACTATTATTGCTATTGAACTTACTAGTACAATATAATTTATTACCAATACTAATTCTATCAGAGGTACTTGTACAAATTTATAATTTAGTTTATAATTTAGTTTATAATTTAATCAAATACTAACTTTAGGAGTTAAATAAGAAATACAGATATTTGTCCATAAGGGGAATTCTTCAGTTATTATTAAATTAACAGGTCTGCCTCTACAAAATGAAATAACTAATGTTTAAAAATAACTATAGACAGCATAAATCTGACATTACAATGATAATTACACAGCCTTAATATACAAATTAGATTTAATGAAAAGCTATTATGACTTCATCTTTACTTAAGTGGGGATTTGATATATTAAGCTTTGTTTGTGTTTTTTTTGCTTTGTTTTGTTTTTTATTATGTGTTTTTTCTTTTTTAATGTTCTTTTGCAATTTATTCAGGTTTATATATATATATATATATATATATATATATATATATATATATATATATATACATACATACCATAAACCTTATAAGCCACAGTATAGTAGTATATAAGCTTTTTATTTTTTTTTATTTTTTTTTACATAAAATCAATATCAAAGAGTACAAGTAAAGAAAAATAAATACTAATGAAAATAATAATAAAATGACTATAATAATGTAATAATTCTCATATAAATATACCTTTTAATGACCGAACGCTTTTACTTTGAAACCAGAAGTCTCTCTGCTCCGTCTCCCTGTAGCTTCACTCCACACAGCTCTCATCATGGCCTCTGTCACAAAGCTCAAACCCTCTTCACCTCCTAACCGCCCTAAACCCTCCGCTCCTCCGTACCTCTTTGTCCGGGACCCACTGCGGCTCCTCCAGGCTGAAGGGGCTGTGGAAGGCGCCGCTCTCCGGGACCATGCGAAGGCCGCTCGGGCTCCGGACCAGCTTCTTTCCGTCCGGGACCGAGGAAGACGACATGTCTGCGGGAACTGCGGCTGCTGGCTCCGAGAAGCTAATGTGGCTAATGCTAACGGAGCCCAGCCTCCGGAGCACTGACAAACAGCGGTTCAGCCAATCACAGAAGCAGAGGGTAGAGGGCTGGACCAATGAGAGAGCAGGGGGCGGGAGTCATGTGCTCAGTGGAATGTTTTGGTTTTTATTGCAGTTTTTTTGAGCCCCACCCGCAGAAAAACAACTCAGAATCAGACATATGACCAGGGAATGTCTGCACGTACGGGATAACATCTCCCAAGTTACATAAATAAATAAAGATTATAAGATTAAATGCATTAGCCTACTCAAGTGAAGACTAAACTCTGAGTTAATAAACGGAATTTCAGTACACAATTCATCCACATACTTGAACCAACATACTTTACAAAATGTTTTCTTTCTTTCTTTTTTAAACATACATTTGACAAAAAATAGACAAACTAATCAAAAATATGAGAATTATATTTAACATGTTTACAGAATGGTATAATTGGCTTTGTCAGAAGTATGGACTTTTTAAGCAGGCTATTCTGTCATTAAAAGTTCCAGTATGTAACTTTTCTCATCTCCATGGAGATGTTATTGCTTTGCCTGGAATGTTCCACAGTATGGTATTAAATCTTTCTATCTTCATGTAAACCGCACCAGAAGTTACAGGTCAGATCTGCGAAGAGGCAACCCCGCTTATAGTCAGAATGTCTGTTTTTCTATATATTTTCGAGCTATAAAACATCCTCTGACTGAATAAACATGTCATACTGTGGAACATTCCAGGCTGAGCAATGACACATCCATAGTAACAAGCAGGCGATGGACCCCAGCCAAAAAGTTACACAGTGCACTTTTTAAAATGCTTTATACTGGGATTAGGTTGGAGGTTTGGTCACAAAACACTTTCAGTGAACAAACATGCCACAAAAGTAAACACAGGACTTAAACTCAAGGCTAATTTCTATCCACTGTCTTGTTTACTCTTTGCTGGAGGCACAAGAGGTGAAATGCCTTGCTCAAGGACACAACTATACTCACTTGACACACTTAAGTAGGGATAGAATAGAACCATCAAACTTTCCAATGATTTTTTTCGTCCACACTGTTTTATACTTCACAAGAATATTAATTTATTAATTCACTGTGGTGTTTTATTCTGATTTGAATATATTTTCTATTTAACTTGCATTATACTATTCTGTACGAGTTTATTTGTGGTAACTAGAGTTGTTTTTATTTCACTTGGAATAATCTTTTGTTTATAAACCTCTCTTGAAACTGCTTCTCCAAACCTTTTAATATTCAGCAGAATTCTGGATTTCCTGTTTTTGAATTCAAAGGTCACTTGAGTTCATTTAGAGAAAGAAAAAAATCTCTATACATTGTATTTTTCCACAAATATTTATTAAACTGTTTGTAACAGAAACCAGGAAGCAGGAAAAAGAAGAGGCATCATTATTCTTATTATTAACAACACATTTACAACAAAAACAGTGAAATTCAAACTTTTAAAACAATTTTTACATTCAACTTTACAAACTTAAGTTGCGACTCAAAGTTCCTCTTACTGGAGATGAACAAACACGGCTTTTGGTGACACAGACAATGTTACGGTTGGTTTTGGTTGGCTAGAATAGTTTAAATAATGAAAAATATAGGGCAAATGTTCAAATTAATGACAACATTCATATATATTTTTTTATCTCCCTGAGTTCAGATGGGCGTGATTGACAGGTGGATTAGCCAATCAGACACACATGGTCTGTCTATATGAAAACAAATATGACTGCAAATGAGGAAAAAAGATACAGAAACTAAACAAAGGCTGAAATCATAAGGGACTGAAAAATAAGGTAGATTTCTGCAGAATCACATTTGTTTGTAAATGACAGGTGACCAATGAGCTCCTTCATTTCACATGCATGACTGAAATAAACAAGTCTAATTGGAAGATCAGGTTTGGTTTTGGCTTAAGACATGACAGACAGAGTGAGGACCAGACTGATATCACTTTGTATAAAAAATACACGGAGAAAAAGTCTGAATTTGCCAAACTACTTTTGTGCTTGTACTTTTGTCTATTATTTAAAAAAAAAGAGAGAGAGAGAGAAAAATGTGGAAAAACTAAACTGCATGACTTAACTTGGTTGATTAAAATACAACAAAACTAAAAATAGATGTTCTGAATTATGGAATATAGAATGAAGATTTGAATGAACCCAATATTATATTTAGATCAGGACTAAATCAGACTTAAACCAGGTCTAGACCAAGAGAACTAAGCCAAGACTTGAGGTTCAAACTAGGACTTAACAAGGACTAAACAGGACTAAACCAGGACTATACCAGAACTAAACCAAGACCAAAGATAAACACAAGTATTATAGAAGTGAAAAAACAGATTGTGCATTTAGTTTGAATATTATTTGCATGTAATTAATAACTGTTAAGTATTTTATTTTTATACCACCACCAGTGTCTGTGTCACTCGCTGCGTTCTCAGTTTATCTCCAAAGCTTTGTTCAGATATGTGCCTCTGTACTCTGCATCTTCAAACACGTAACAGCGTCATATATTTATTTCACAACTCCAGGAACAGACCGATCAACAGTCGACAATAAAACAGTCCTTGAACTAAATATTTCTTCCTCTAAAACCAAAAATAAAATAAAAATTCTGTGATTCTTCTGTTTTAGTTCCAGTGCAAAAGCTTAAACTTCATAAGCACAGCGCAAAATTACAGGCAAATTTAAAAAGAATTGTAAAAATATGATTCAACCAATGGGCCTCCTTCAGCTAAATGGTATCAAGTATTCTGTCCGGCGGTTGATGGTTCAGTCTGTGATGCCTGCATTGCATAGCGCCATTGTTTCCTTGGGCAAGACACTCCTGCGCTACTTGAAGAGTTCCTCAGGGAAATTATTAAGGGCATTGTATTTAAAGTGAGGGCTCTGGAGGACTAAAGGGGAGAGTGAGGAGGAGAGGGGTCTGGAGGACTAAAGGGGAGAGTGAGGAGGGGAGGGGTCTGGAGGACTAAAGGGGAGAGTGAGGAGGAGAGGGCTCTGGAGGACTAAAGGGGAGAGTGAGGAGGAGAGGGGTCTGGAGGACTAAAGGGGAGAGTGAGGAGGAGAGGGCTCTGGAGGACTAAAGGGGAGAGTGAGGAGGGAGGGTCTGGAGGACTAAAGGGGAGAGTGAGGAGGGGAGGGGTCTGGAGGACTAAAAGGGGAGAGTGAGGAGGGGAGGGGTCTGGAGGACTAAAAGGGAGAGTGAGGAGGGAGGGGTCTGGAGGACTAAAGGGGAGAGTGAGGAGGGGAGAGTGAGGAGGGGAGGGGTCTGGAGGACTAAAAGGGAGAGTGAAGGAGGGGAGGGGTCTGGAGGACTAAAAGGGAGAGTGAGGAGGGGAGGGGTCTGGAGGGCTGAAGGGGAGACTGAGGAGGGAGGGGTCTGGAGGACTAAAAGGGAGAGTGAGGAGGGGAGGGGTCTGGAGGGCTAAAGGGGAGAGTGAGGAGGAGAGGGGTCTGGAGGGCTAAAGGGGAGAGTGAGGGGGAGGAGGGGGCGGGGTTTGGAGGTATAAGGAACAGTGTAATTGGTCTAACAGGTATTCATGCTTCAAACGCCGTCCCTGCAACCAGTGTTTGTATCAGAAACACCTGACTCAGTACTTGAAACTGCAGTGGCCTCTAGGGGCAGTAGATAATGCTATTAAAACACCATATACAGTTTAGTAGCAAAAAAAAGCTGATTTGTGTTTAGTTCCACTTTAAATGTAGTTTAAAGGTCCTATATTACACAAAAGTGACTCTTGTGAGCTTCAAGTTGTGTTATATTGAAATTACCTCCTCAAAAACAGACCTGGAGTTGTGTTTTGTTTCATTTACACATTTTTGAGTAACTTCTTATGATTAGTCTGTCTACATCTCCAAAGCTCAAAATGCTCAGTTCCACCTTGTGATGTCATGTAGTGGTAGTTTACATGTTAACAGCTTCTTTCACCTTTAGTTCAGTAGAGTTTGACAGTTTGAGGGCTGAAGTCATCCAAAAAATTCTAGTGAAGGTGTATGGAGTTTAAAAATAAAATGGAGCACTTCCTGTATTACCACATGACATCACAAGGTGGAACAGAGAAGAACTCAGTTGAAATATGCAGAGTTTGTGTGTTTAAACATGTGAATGAAACAAAAACTCAAGTATGTATTTGATGAGGAAACAACATTATAACAGAGAGAAGAACACAGTGTAAGCTCTTTAAATAGTTCTATTAAACATTCTAACTGATAAAAACTATAGTGTCAACTGTCCAAGTGGTTTGCATAGTGTTTGGAGAAAGTGTCTTGCCCACAGACACAAAGGCAGTTTGCAATACCAGTAGTGGGGATCAAACCAGCAACCTTCTATCTGTAAGTATGTGTCTCAGAGCTTGTGTGACTGAGGCCCATTGGATCCTTCTGCATAGACGTCTGCATAGTAACAAAACTCCACTTAAAGTTACATTCAAAACAGTGAATTTCAATATAACACAACAGCACTTCTACCACATCTGCTAAACTAAACGAAATAGTTTTGGTCAACTTCAGTAAAATGCATCAAATATATTCTGCATCATGTATTTTTGTGGGTAAAAATAAATAGTTTCCAGTTCCAAACACATTTGTAATAAAAGCTTCTCTAAACTGCATGTAACAGTAAACCCAGTAAACAGCTCTGTAACATTAGCTCCTCTATTTTACATTTAAACAAGAAAACAAACTTCAGATTATCAGATTTTTTGGTTTTAACTTTGATTTCAAAAGTCAAATTGTTCCAAATAATACATTAAAATGTGGAGTAATTATTCTTTTATAAGTTCAGCAAATGTAAATGTTTCTTCCAGCCAAACACGGACAAAAATATATGGATAAAATGACTTGAAATCAGAATATTATTTTGTTATAGAAATGTGTTAGAGAAAATGTTTTTAGCACTTTTTCTAGTCATTAGGTCATAGTTTATGTCACGTAATTCACGGTCAATTAGTTTAAACATAAACTGAATTATTCCTTTAAAATGCCATTCAATTCTTATGAGATTTTCATTTGATTAAAAGTACAGTATGTAACTTTCTGGGAGGTGGTACGTCACTTGCATAATTCCATGGAGATAGATGAGTTTTATGCCATACTCTGGAATATTATAGCCAAAAGAACAACATTTCCATGGAAATGAGCAGGAAGTGGTCCCTCCTCCAGGCCAAACAAGAGTCAAGTCTGTGGAGATACAAGCTCGCTCACAGTAAGGACGTATGCTTTTCAGAGCAATAAAAACAATAAAAAATGTAATCAATATATTTTAGTCATTTTTTGGCTAAAAAGTTACATACTGTGGTTTTAAGACTTTTTTCTAAATTCAAGTCATTTTCCATTTTTCCTCAAACAGCTGTTAATGTTAAATATCGTCTTTTGCAGTGAGGTGACTATAGACCACAGTCTAACTTAAGTCTTTCTTGACCATTTCAAACCTTCTAAAACAAACAAATGCAGTATTCAAGTCATTCTAGTATAAACTCTATGTAAACTCCTTTTAGTTTTGGACGTGTTTCAGTATCTTGACCTAAAGCAGTAAAAGCAGCGTTAGACTCACACAGGTTTGTACAGTAGCTCTCCTCGTTTTTCCTCTCGATATGTTCAGGTCCAAAGTGCAGAAAAACACATCTTTATTTTACTATAAAATCCTCAAAGTGCCAGGTTTGTGGAGCTGGCGCTCAGGTCGTTCCTCCTCAGACTATTATTTCGCTCCTAACAGACAAAAAAGGAGGAAAACAAAAACAGATCATTAAAACAGATCATTAAAACAAATGATAGAAAATCTGTGTAAAATGGAGTTATATTTGGTCAGAAAGAAATAGAAAAAAATAAATTAAAAGTATATTTGATAGACAAATTTAGAGAAATCTGTCACCAGACGACAGTTCAAAATGAAACCAAACAACTATAAATTCCAATAGCCGCTACTTTGATTCAAATATAAAATAAACAAACTATTCAAATTCCAATAAAATTAGAGTACCTGACTGTTATTACTTGGAGATGACTTCAGTTGGTGGCATTTACCTCTTTATTATGCCTTAAAATTAGCCTTAACATTGACACAAACAACTCCCTTCCTAAACACAGAAGTTTCCTCTTTTGTTTAGTGTTTAATAAAAAAAAAAAAAAGCAATTTATGAATTTATTTTGGGCAAATAAAGATTTACATTTGTATACAATGGAACATATAACATAAGTGAAATCATAATAGAAATGAAAATAACAACAAAATATTACTATTATTATTATTATTATTTTGCCCAAAAAGGAGTGGGAAGAAGACAACTTATTTAATCCCACCACTACTCTTCATAATCTAACACAATGAGCTATCTTTTGCGTTTTTCAGACATTTTGAATTAAACTATATGAACAAAGAGTCACTGTTATAGCTCGGTAGTGTAACATAAGTGTATCAACAATGGTAAAGTTAAGGATACAGACAATGGTAAGAAACAACAAATACAAGTCATGTAACGGACAGCACATACCAGCAATGGTAAGAAAACAACAAACATAAACAAGCGCTACAGAGGAAGTATTGTTCTAATATTACGTGTTGTCAGTGACATCCTCTCACAGCGCCTGGTCCACTGCTTTATTTTTAAATATGTATGAATTTTGAGAGCGACTCAAAACCCTCACAGAGATACAGTTGAGGCTGCTGAGCGCTGCTGTGCACAGACTATTACCAATGAATAAAACATTGCACTGCTCGCTGGTGGAGATTGGAATAATAGATCAAATAAAATGAATAAAACAAATCTTTGACCTCTCAGAAACCAACACCACGTAAAATGACACAGAGACGATGAGTTACAGTGTTAAATGTGTGATGTTAGAATGGACAGAGTCTAAAAGTGTCTGCTACAGTCTCATTAGAATGTAGTTTCCTCTTCCTCAAAATCTTAATCCTGCACACATTATTACACTTGGCCCCACCTTGTGACATCATCAGGTGGTAATCAAGTGAGTCCTCTGTGTCCAAAAAAATCCACACAACTTCACCTAATAATTTCTATGGTTAAATGTTCTTCAGTACACTCTATCAAACCTAGAATAGATAAACTAACACACATTTGATAAACAAACCTCTAATAAAAGTTATACTAGGTAAAATTTTGGTGGGTTAGTTCACTACTTGCTTGTCTCCATGGAGATCTTACTGCTTTCCCTGTAATGTTACGCAGTACAGTATAGAATTAAATGTATGTATTTCTAGAGAGACAAGCCTACTCAAAGTAAGAAGGCATGTTTTCCAAGGATTTTTATAAACAAGAAATCAAATAAATACAAGATGGCTAAGTTTAATGCAATGCTGTGGAACATTCGAGACACTAGAAAAGTTCCACAGTGCTTCTTTAGTAGCAGACACTGTTAGTCCCTGGAGGAGGAGAGATGAGGTGAGTTCTGTTCTTACTTGGTGGATGTCTGGAGCAGCTCTGTCCAACATATTGAGAAAACCCAAGGAGCTGGCTCGCTTCATGCTGCACCCAGTCACATGCAGTGAAGGGGGGGTGGGACAGGTGAGAGAGGAGGAGGAGGAGGTGAAGAGATGGAGTCAGATGAGAGAGGGAGAGGAGGAGGTGAAGGGTGGGGACAGGTGAGAGAGAGAGGAGGAGGAAAGGAGCAGAAGATGGAGGAGGAGGGAGAATGAGGGTTTTTAGCTCAATGGAGTGTTATTGGTGACATTAAAGTTAGTCAAATACTTTTACTATCACTGAGGACAATTATGACAACAAACAAGACAAATATTGGACTTGACGCTACAGAAAAACTAAAATAATATATATATTTTTAAAAGATATATATTAAAACTAAAATAATAAATTCTTCAGACTTCAATGTTTTCAAATTCAAATTTTAGTTTTTATGGTTTATAAAATTGTATGGACACAAATCCTTGCTGTGAATAGCTACAAAGATTTACAGCTACACATTACATTATAAAAGTTGCTCAGATTGACTTTGCTTTAGTGGTTATAAGTTACTTTTGAGCCACAGATGCCCTGGGACAGGTTAACAGAGACATGGCTGCCATTCTGTGCCAACAGTATCTACTCAGGTCATGTAATCTTACAGTTTTGAATGGGATCTATGAGGAGGAAAAGTCCATTTAAAGGGTCCATATTCACTATTTTCTGATAAATGTTATAATGTAGTTTTGTCATCACAAACAGACCTGGAGTTGTGTTTTGTTTCATTCACACATGTTTAACACACAAACCCTGCACATTTAGACTCTGTTTGTCACAGGAAATGCTCCACTGTGTTTTTAAACTCCACACACCTTTACTAGAATCATCTGGATAATTTCAGCCTTTGAATTGCCAATTTCTACTGAACTAAAGGTAAAAAGAGCTGTTAACTTGAAAACTAGCGTTTTGAGCTTTGGAGATGTAGACAGACTAATAATAAAGACTTACTCAAACGTGTGTGAATGAAACAAAACACAAGTCAGGATATGTTTTTAAGGAGGTAACATAAAATAATAAAATTATAATAAATAATAAGCAAGTTATTATAAATACAGTAATAAACAAGTGAAAACAACAGCCAAACACGCAGAGAGACACACATAGAGACGAAACATGCATCAAACAGTTTAAAACATTTATTTAAATAAAAATAAAACTGCAGCCCAGAGTCATGCAGCGTTCAGTCCAGAGCAGAACTATACAGAAATATAATAAATAAAAGAGACAAATGAACCGTGACAGAGACAGACGTGAACCAAGAAGGGTTTAAAAAAGAGACACAAGAACCACACCTGCTTCTGCACAGAGTTACATGTTACAAATGTAGTTCTCTAAAGGATCCATAATATTCCATTTTCTGATCTACTGTATGTATTGTATGTATAATGTTTTCTCATCACAAACAGACCTGGAGTTATGTATTGTTTCATTCACATGTTTAACACACAAACCCTGCAGATTTAGGCTGAGGCAGAAAGCATTCAGTTCCACCTTGTGATGTCATGTGGTAATACAGGAAGTGCTCCATTGTGTTTTTAAACTCCAGACACCTTCACTAGAATCATTTGGATGATTTTGGCCCTGGAATTGACAATCTCTACTGAACTAAAAGTAAAAGGAACTGTTCACTTGAAAACTACCACTACATGACATCAGAAGGTGGAACTGGACACTTTGAGCTTTGGAGATGTAGACAGACTAATAATAAAGAGTTACTCAAACATGTGTGAATGAAACAAAACACAACTCCAAGTCAGTTTTTGTATGGTAAACAACATTAAAGCATGACTTAAAGCTCAAAAGAGTCAATTTTGAGTAATATTAAACATTCAATACTTCAAAATAAGAGTTTAAAGTACATAGGACAGCTTTTATGTTTTTAACAATAGTACTTGCGGTGAATATTTGTCATAGTTTTGCATCAGTTAAGTGGCGGTTTTGAAGAAAAGCTGCAAACAAAAAGTTGAAGTTTACAGGAAGTAGTGATGAGTTCTAAGAAAGGAATCCTAGTACGTCATCAAACCACAAAATACAGGGGGGCACAAGGAATACTTTTTCTGACATTTTGATGAATCCAAACACTTAATATATAATCGATATACTGGTTAATGGTTTGTTTATAGCTCTCAGTAAAAACTAAAATAAATATGAACACAAAATAGTCATTGTTTCTACTTGAATAGATTTAGAAATTACTGTAATTCTGAAAGGTCCTATATTACTCAAAATGGATTCCTGTGAGCTTTAAGTCATGTTATAATGTTGCTACTTCATCAAAAACATATCTGAGTAAGTAAAATATGAGCAGTCCCCCTGTGCAGAAGCAGTGTCTGTTCAATAATATCCACAGATGTTTATTATAAAGTATAGTTCATATTCTTTAAACAGCAGCAGCCCCGTTCTCCAGCTCTGTGTTAGTCCAGTGCAGCCCAGAGTTTCAGTACAGTTCAGGGGTAAATGCTCTTATATACAGTACTTACAGTGTATATAAACAGATCTGTATATATGGGATACTTGTACATATATTTACCCTGTGTTCTTGGGCTCCGGCTCCCTGGGTGATCCTCCTCTCAGTTTTCGCACCAGTTTTTCACTGCTGCGTCGTATAGAGGCTCTGAGTTTACTGAAAGAGCCACTCCTCTTCAGAGCGCCAGAGCCGTCCTGAGGGAGAGGAGACCGGGTTAGGCTGGGTGTAGACCAGGTTTAGACCAGGTTTAGACCAAGATCAGACCATGTTTAGACCATGTTTAGACCATGTTTAGACCATGTTTAGACCATGTTTAGACCATGGTTTAGACCAGGCTTAGACCAGGCTTAGACCAGGCTTAGACCAGGCTTAGACCAGGCTTAGACCAAGGTAAGATCATGTTTAGACCAAGGTAAGATCAGGTTAAGATCAGGTTTTTACCAGGTTTACACCAAAGTAAGACCAGGTTTAGACCAGATATAGGCCACGTATAGACCAGGTAAAGACCATGTTAAGACCAGGTACAGACCAGGTTTAGACCGGCTTTAGACCCATGTTTAATTTAGGTGATCTTCCTCTCTGATGGACAGAGGTTTTATGCAGCACAATGCAGCCAAGACATGTCTAATGTCACACTCAAAATGCAAAACATACATCTGATATCATATGTATTTAAGTATAATAATAACTGTTATATTTATATCCTAAGTAATAGGAATTGGACCAAAATGAAACTTCAGATGTATTTACAGTGGAAACAATATTTAATATGTTATGTTAATATGTTTTATTATGTCCTGACTGATGGAGACCCTTGTTCTTCAGGATGTTTTTTGGTGGTCATTATGTTTGTTTTGTCAATTTTAAGCAAGAACTGATTTACAACTTACTAAAATATACTTTGTGGTATGTGGCCAAATGTATAAAAACAGTGTTTGCTAACGTGTGCATTGTGTCTCCATGGTAATTACTAAACATTTCACCATTACAGATACATGTATAACACCCCCAGCGTGATGTCACTGCAAAATATCTTATTTTAAGTATGGTGACTTTTAAATGATCTTTTCTCTTAATAGTACAGTTGTATTTAATGCACTTCTGTCAAACCTAAGGCAGGTCCTGGAGAGAATTTAAAATAACATGAGAATCAGGAGACCAAAGTCATGTGCTCATCATTAGACACGGGGTTATGAATGTCTCCAGTGCATATTTGAACAGATTCAGCATGGTATAAGATGTGTGTCAGATGTCCTTCTCCCTTCAACTATTCTTGTGTGTCAGATGCCCTCCCATTCCCCTATCCATGGGTTTCAGAATAATGAAAAACTATGAATTCTGTCATATTGGTTAACAATTTAAAATAAAATACCAGATCTTTGGAATGAGAAAAAGTCCTCAAAATGTACAACAGCTGAAAACCCATGAATAGTCTTGTGTGTCAGATGCCCTCCCATCTTGCTATCCTTATATTTCAGATGCCCTTCCATCTTCCTGAATACTAAAATGCACTTCTACCACCTTTAAATCATATTCATTACATGCTTTCATAATGCCATTAGTAGAAACAGGATCAGAAAAAGACACAAAGAGGAGACGGGTTTTAGTTTAAAATGGAGCAAAGAACAAAGTTTTATTAGAGAAACTTGAGTAGAGCTCAAACGTGGGTTAGACTTAAGAGGAGCAAAGCATCAGGGACACAGAAGCCAAAACATCACAACTACAGAATCTCCTCAGCGTCACGTTTAGGACCACAGAGAGGTCAGGGCAGGCAGTGCTACAGACATGCAAACCAGATATTCAAGTTCAAGATTTTACTATTTACAGCCAGTGGAGTTACTCAGAGTTACTAGAGTGATCTGAAGTGCATATGACAGGTTAGACTACACATTTAAAACAGAATTAAAAACACTGCATGCAACTTTTTGCCAAAAAATAGATACAAATTAAAGCATGTTTTTTCATTTTGGATGTGCTAATTGCGTTCAAAGACACCCTTCCTGTAAGCAGGCTCGCATCTCCACAAACCTGACTCTTATTTGGCCTCTTATGTTGTTCCTTTGGATATAATTTGCCACAGTATGGTATTAAACATATCTAAATATATTTAGCTTTTTGATGTGCCGCCTCCATGAAGTTATATACTGTAGCTTTAAGATAATTATTTTCAAGAATTAACTAAAACTCATTATTGGACGTTAAAACTGTATCAAAATCGTCTCTGCATTTTGGATGGAATTTTGTGTTGATGACTAACTTTTATTCTCAAACTGCCACTTAACTGTAAACCTCTGATAAATAAACTTTAAAACTATGATCAGTATTAGCACAGATACTATCCCACCAAAGAATCAGAAATAGAAACACGTGAAAACCTGTCATATGCACTTTCAGAACACAGACAGAAAAGAGCGAGTGAAAAAGGTGCTTTATAATATAACACATCTCCTTTAAAGTTCAAATCTGCAGCTAAATTAAAGGTACAACACAGAGATGTAAGAAGAACCACTGTGTTTTGAGTAGCACTTCTTCTATAAAGTTGTTAAAGGATTATGTCACTTCCGGGTCCATCCAGAAACTTCACAGCATCCGTCGTACATGTTCTGTCACCGTTACAACCACACATACACGGTTTTAATCTCATTAGCTTTAAGCAACTGCAATCTCTTTTTGGATGATGGCCGTGTCTCATTTCTCTTTCCTCGTTTCCTTCTTGATTCCTCAATTCAGCAGGAAATGCGTGAGGAAGTCCCGCCCACTGAGCAGACACAATGAGGAGAGAAGATCTAAACTCCTCAGTGAGACCAATAAAGTTTGGTTCTTTTCTCTGGTGTCTGCTCCTGAAGCCTTCCTCATGTTTACTCCTTCCTTCTGTGGTTTTCAGGACACCGCTTAATATGACATATTTGATTGACAGCTGAAAAACGGAGGATCGAGGAGAGGAATCAAGGAGAAGGAAGCTAGGAAAGAGAATTGAGACGTAGCCGATGTGTTGACGGTAAAAAAGGCGGCAATTTTGAACATATTCATAGTTTTTAAGCCAGCTGATGGACCCGGAAATTGACTTCACACAAAATACTATACACTCAAATAAAGATTTCAATATTATTACATTCCACAAGAGAAGGAAAGTGAAATGCTCAAGTAGAAAAAGAACAGATCAGATATGGAGAGAGAGAGAGAGAGAGAGAAAGAGAGAGAGAATATTGCAATTTAAAATCACACGGGTCATTTTGTTAAAAGTGTTACAAGTGTTTAAAGCTGAAGATGCAGAAGTGAAGAAAAGTGCAGCCAGGTCCTCTCATGCAGAACAACAGACATCTGCAGCTAAGGCTTTAGAGAGAAAGAGAGGAGAGGGGAAGGGAATGACAGATGAAAGAGGAGAGATGGAGAGGGTGGTAGGAGAAAAGAGAGAAGAGGGAGAGGGGATGAAAAGAGAGAGGAGCAGAAGGTAATGAGCGATAATGGAGAAAAGAAGATGACGAAATGGAGAGAGGATGGAGAAAGAGAAGGGAGGGAGGACAGGAAGAGAGGAAGAAAGAGGAGGCAAAAAGGAGAAAAAGGGAGGGAGAGTTAGAAAATTTATGTTAAAAAGACACGAGAAAGGTTAGATAATAATGTATATTTTCACCAGTTTTTCTCAACCAGAAAATGATTATAAAATGTAAAATAATCTGGAATTTAAATAATTAGAAATGAGAAAAAAACTAAAAAGTTCAGTTGGATTGAACAATTTGTCAGTGTATATATTTGTACTGATGGAGAATTACAGTGGTGCATAAAAACAGTAAGAAAACAGTCAGAAATGCTGGTTTAAACTAAGACTAAAATAAATACAAAAAGACACAGAGCATCCAGATGTTTCAGATGTTAGAAAGAAGGAAGACATGCTCTAGCTGTTATTTTAGTATAATTTCAAATAAAATAATAATACTGTACTTCTGGTTTTATAATTTAGTCTCCGGTTGCTAAAATGTCATTAACAGAACTTCACAAAAAATTGACAAATTAGTGAAAGTTAAACATGAAGCAACACAAAACATTTCAGTGGCATCAGGTTTAAAAATGACAAAAACACAAGTGGAAAATGCACAGACAGAGTACAGTACAGAGCCCAGAACAGGTCAGAACGGTTAAGGGATTTTAAATGACGTTTTACTGAAGAAAAGTGAATCTGAAGGGACATGTTTGAGACAGAAGTTTGAAAACTGCAGACAGAAATAAAGGTGAAAAAGAGGTTTAATAAGACCAAAGCAGAGGATTAGCAGCTCAGTGTTCACACCTAACAACATAAAACAGAAATACAGTGGCACAGTGGGTGAAGCTTTGCCCACTAACAGGAGGGATGTTCATCGTGATGTTGTGCCGTGGGGCAAGACACATTTAAGTTAAAGGTGCACTTGAAACTTTTTGGTTGGGATCTGTCACCTGCTTGTTTCCATGGATTTGTCTGCCTGGAGTGTTCCACAATATGACATTAAACAACTTTACTTAACATTTATTGAACTACAGGTGGTTTTATAACTCAGAAATACCTCAAAAAATAGACATTCCGTGAGCGGCGTCGCCTCTGAACAGATCTGACCTGTAACTTGGTCTGGTTTGATCTCCATGAAGATAGAAAGGTTTAATGCCATACCATGAAACCAGTCCCAAGTGACTCCTAATTAAGGTCAAGATTTAAATCCAGGTTAACACACAACTTGCTCTGGAATTTTTTTTTTTTTTATTTATAAACAACACCTAAAAATTCTGCATAAACACACACACACACACACAAGCACACACACGCTTGAATGCTGAAGATAAAATTATATTCAAAGTTCATTCATGTTTTTCAAGTTTTTGCATCTATTGCAATAAAGTGTCTTGCCCAATGACACAACGTCAGAATGCACAGGTCAAAGCTCTACCACTGAGCCACCGCTGCCCCATCAGTGTGCTGTGAACTGCGTTTTTCTGTTTATCTGATTGTCTCACCCTAATATTTTTTGTGATTTTTTGATTTCTGTTTCAGTAAAGGCATAGTAGATATTTTAAAGAGGGGTTTTTACACTTCTATGGAGTATTAACTGCTAAAACATAACATATTTAGATCGCCATGTTAGCTTTAATTGTTTTGAAAATGAAATATTAGCCGAAAAACAACAGCTAACAATAAGGAGGGTTTGAGTAGGACTCGGAAGAGATCTCTAAGGCTACGTTCAGACTGCAGGGCTTAATGCTCAATTCCGATTTTTTTGTGAAATCCGATGTTTTTGCGAGGTCGTTCACATTTCCAATTAAATGCGACTTGTCTGTGACTTCAGTGTGAACGGTAAACGGCCCGAAAGTGTCCCGCATGCGCACTGGAGACACGATGACGTCAACCCCATGCATCAACGCAGCGAGCGTGCTCTGTGTTTACGGAAGTTGTCCAAATATGGTCGCGAGCGTTGAGCACCTGGCGATTTTACAGTTCCGGTTTCCACCTGCCTCAGCGCAGAATTGTGACGTTTGTCGCTTGTTAATGACGTGTAGGTCGGATGGATGCGCTTTGGCCGTTCAGACTGAAGTCGCATGTGAAAAGATCGGATATGTATCGGATTCAGGAGCACATATCCAAGTGGTCTGGGTCGCATTTGAAAAATTTGGATCTGTGCCGTTCAGACTGTCATTAAAAGATCGGATACAGGTCACATAGAAGCCAAAAAATCGGATTTGGGTCACTTCAGGCTGCAGTCTGAACGCAGCCTTTATGACTCAAACATGCACAGAGTACATCTAAAACCTCTTCAGGAATGTTTTTGATGACAACATTATAACATGGTAGAAAGTTCCAAAAAGTAAATTTTGCATAATACCCCCTCTTTAAACTTAACTTAAAGATGCACTAAGTAACTTTTTGGTGGAGGAACCGTCACTTGCTTGTTGCTATAGATACGTCATTGCTCTGCTCAGAATGTTCCACAGTGTGACATTAAGCAGCTCTACTTAGGCAGGGCAAGTTTATTTGTAAAGTGCAATTGGTACAAAAAGCAATTCAAAGTGATTCAAATACATTAAAATCACAATAAAAAAATATCAAAACATAAATAATCATCCTAAAATTAAATAAGAGAGAGACATTAAATGAAAGTGAAGTGTGCCAAATAAAACCTTTGAGTCATATGCACATAGGGGTGTGCAAAAATATCAAAATATCATTATATCGTAGAGTATTTTTTGGTATATTTTACTAAATTATTTTGTTACAGAGCTACAGTTTTGTTACTTGTTTAGAGGAAGAAAACTTCACATTTTCACTGTTTTGATGATTAAAATGTTGGTCTTTCATACGAACTGGTTCAACAAAGACGTTTAGTATAAGAGTCATGATTTAGCCTTTATTTTTTATTGAACCATATCGAATCAATTTGAAATATATCGTATCGAATTGAAAGTGCACTGTATCAAGATATGTATCGTGTCATGGCCTGTGTATTGAGGTATGTATCGTATTGGCAACTTCTTAATGATACCCAGCCCTAAATGCACTGCTAAAAGGAACTGTTTTGAGTCTTCTTAATGTTTATTCAATCACAGGTGGTTTTAGAGCTCAAAAATCCCTAGAAAAACAGACATTCTGACTGTGAGCATGGTCATCTCTCCACAGAGCTGATCTGTAAATTAGTCTGGTTTGGCCTTCACACTGATAAAAAGGTTTAATACTGTGAAACATTCCAGACAAAGCAATAACATCTCTATGGAGAAAAGCATTTCACGGACCCTCCACCAGAAAAATTACACAATGCACCTTTAAACAGACTGAACCTTGCTGTTATTCTAGTTTGTCTTTTGGTTCTGTGGTCTGTACTGCACTTACCCCGTTCCACTCGACGCTCATACTCACTCCCTCTCCACCGTTCACGCCACTCTCGTATTTCACCGTGTCTGAGTTCAAACTCTCTCTGCTCCTCTGTTTGTCCCTCTGCTCCGGGTCACTCAGCACCTCGGCCACGCGCTGCTTATGAGCCGTGTCCAGGCCCTGAAGATGATGACAAGTGAGTCAGTATCCCTGTGTCAGATGACCTCCCAGCCATAACTCAGTCGCCATAACAATTAACAATTTCAAGCTCATTTTGAACAGGCAAGAGTCTTCAAGTTCTTCAAGACATCTATAAACAACAGGAAATGAAAATGAACAAATATGAATATCCCTTTGTGTCAGATGCCCTCCCTTCCACCTATCTCCCTGTAGTGTTAGACTGAGGCAGGTCAAAAGTTTCTTGTTAATCTGCAGATGTTGTGATGTGTCAGATGCCCTCCCAGATGCAACAGGAGAATGGACCTTGTCCTGATAGAAATGATCAGAAAAAATGTTTGTTTATTTGACTTTTGGAGATTCCTATTAATAATATCATATACTGGAACTTTTATAAACCCATAAATTTTAATATCACCAAATAACTCACAGCCTTAAACTCTAAAAACAATTCTTTTATTTAGATTTTCAGATCATGAAGATCTCCGATACTGAAAAGGGGTCTGTACATAAAGCTACAGTGCCTCGTTCCTCGTGAAGACGCTGCCTGCTCTGTGCTGCTGACTGACGCTGAGCTCTGCAAAATAGTAATAATAGTTTAATATAAGTTCAGGCTGAAATAGAACTGCACTTTAAATAAAAATATTAAACTAACCTTATCGAAAAGTGAAATTGTTGAAACAAAATACATTTTATATTGCGATAACAAATAGGTCTACAGACTATGATTTATTACATTTAAAATCATATTCACATTTTCTTTACTTATTTCAGTTTTGTCCAGTTTTAGTTCTGCTTTGTCATTTTTAAAGCCACAGTGTGTAACTTTTGATCCAACAAATCAATTTTGGTTGTGTTTACTGCACTAAAAAATAAGTGTTCTTACTGTGAGTGAGCTTGCATCTCCACAAACCTGAGTCTTATTTGGTGTTGGGGAGAGTCAAAACTTATTTAGCTCCATGGAGAATGTTCTGAAGTATGGTTTTAACTTTCTATTTAAACAGAATAATACAAGTGACATGCCACCTCCAGAAAGTTACATAGTGTAGCTTTAGTTTAGCTCCAATTTAACTAGGTTTCAATTCTGCTTAGTCATCTTTTAAGTAAAAATGTTTACACAATTTGACAATTAAGCAAAGGCAACTACATTTCTGTTTCCACATTTTAACTGTCACCATTCACATTATCACATTTTCTTAACTCTTCATTATCATTAAATTATATGTGAAGATTCAAAATAATTCTGTATCTTAATGTTTAACTCCTCACAAACCTGTTTCCTGGACCTCATAGCGGCCTCCTCCAGTGTGTCTGCTGCCTCAAATTTCCCCTGTCGCCTGTAGAGGGCGCCCAGGTTCTTCAGAGTGGTAGTGACTGTGGGGCTGAAAAAGGGGAAGGGAAACTTTGTTAAAATATAGTACATTTTGTAGTGAAAACAAACCTTTTCTAAATCCAATAAAAGTAAGAACATTGAATATGTTATAATTTGGACATTTTAAAGGTGCACTGTAACTTTTTGGTTGGGGGTGTGTCACCTGCTCGTTTCTATGGATATGTCATTGCTCTGCCTGGAATGTTCCACAGCATGACATTAAACAACGCTACCGTACATGTATTCAATTACAGGTGGTTTTATAGGGAAAAACAGGCATTCTGACTGAGTAGGGTCGCCTCTCCGCAAATCTGACGTGTAATTTGGTCTGGTTTGGTTTCCATGAAGATAGAAAGGTTTAATGCCATACTGTGAAACATTCCAGACAAAGCAATAACATATCCACAGAGAACATTTTTTGATGCACCCCCCACCAGAAAAGTTACACAATGCACCTTTTAAATCACAACATTCTAAAACAACTTAAGGAAAGAAACAAGTGGGGTTGCGTTGCCTTCACTGTTTAGGATTTGATGATTTTGTCGTTTCAAATGAGGGGAAAATACCATATAACTAATACAATTATTATTTATTTAATATAGAGTGGGTACTAGTGGGTACTTGAAATAACAGTGGCTAAATGTTGACGTGACCCTTGTTATTTAATATTAGCAGCACAGTAATTACAAAAAACCCTACAATATCAAACTTAAAGGTCCTATATGACACAAAATTGATTCTTAAGAGCTTTAAGGCACACTATAATACCTTGTCAAAAACAGACCTGGAGATGTGTTTTGTTTCATGTTTGAGTAACTCTTCATTATTAGTCTGTCTACACATTCAAAGCTCAAAATGCTCTGTTCCACCTTGTTAACAGCTACCTTTTATCTTTTGTTCAGTAGAGATTGACAGTTTCAGAGCTGAAATCATCCAAATTATTCCAGTGAAGGTGTATGGAGTTCCTCTATTACCACATGATAACACAAGGTAGAACAGTGTTTTCCATTTGAGAGACGAACTCAGCCTAAACATGCAGGTTTTGTGTGTTAAATATGTGTGAGTGAAACAAAACACAACTACAGGTCTGTTTGTGATGATGAAACATTATAACATAGATCAGAAAAAGTGTATGTTTTTTTCTGCTTGGTTTGGTGGGACTAACTATTTATATGTTTTACAGTTAAGTGGCAGTTTGTTTGAATAAGGTAGTAAAATACAGGAAGTAGCAGTGAGCTCTTGATTTCACAAAATAGATGTGTTGTCATTTATTTTTAGCAGCCTATTCATAACTTGTGTATTTTAGTGAAGTTTGGCTCCTGTTAACATTATATTAACCCAAGAGACATTATGACCTCTAACCTGTCAACTTTACAGGCTTTGTACCAGCCGCCGTATTCTCCAAACGGGGACCCATCCTTCTGTTTCCCCTGAAGACACAAAACACAGCGGATTCATGAGAAAATATAGAAATAATATAGAAATAATACAAAGATTTCACATTTATTTCTCATTTCTGACCTTGCTCTGCTCCTCCCTCTCCTCTGCGTGCATCCAGATCGGCTTGTTCTCATCTGAAAACACACATAAATTACATTATATATTATATTTTTACTGTGTTTTGTGACAGAAAATAGTTTAAAAATGGTTGTAGTCTTTGGTACCGTCCACAGATCCAAACTCGCGCTCGTGGGCCCTGGTCAGGATTTCTTTGTACAGTGTTTCTGCCTGTTTGAATTTGCCTTGTTTCAGGTAACAGGAGGCCTATGGGAGAAAAGCATAAGATATAAAAACATACTCAGTGTTAGCATGGAAAAAGTATGTCAGTTTATACTTATTCTGGCTAAAATCTCATAATCGTATAGTTTGAACCTCTACAAACATGTTCCAAAATGTCCCTGTGTGTCAGATGCCCTCTCTGTATTTTCATGTGGTCTTATTCTATGTAAAATCTGCTAATCGTATAGTTTAAATTTCTACAAACATGTTCTGAAATACATGGGATTCTTGGATTCATTTAAAGTTCTAATTTCAGTCTTCTTTCAAATGTGAAAGCTCCTCAACAGGATTAAAATGCCAACTGTAAACTGCAAAGAAATAAAAATAAAAAGAAGCACATGTCAGGTTTGTTCAAAATAGTTGGGCCCATGTGGAAAGAGGATATTTTTATTCATTTATTGACATGGGAGTTTAAAATGTTGGCTTGAGAGAAACAGACTGAGATTTTTTACTTTGTTTGCTAATGTAATGTGCATTGTGTCACCATGGTAACTAACTCAATACCCAAATATCTCCTCTCTGTGCTTCTAGTAGCATTAACATAATTTTAAACAGCATCTATATTTTGAATTTCCTTCAGATCAATAAAGAAAATAAACAAATCATCTCTTGCACTGACCAGGTTGTTCTTGGTCTTGGCCACGTTGGGGTCGTCAGGTCCCAGTTTGCTCTGATAAATGTCCAGTGCTCTCATGTAGTACACCTCCACCTCCTCGTACTTCCCCTGGTTCTGACACAGCAGAGCCAGGTTATTCAGCTGTTTGGCCACGTCCGGGTGGTCTTTACCCAGAACCTGCACAGAAACGCACAGAAACCACACGAGAAGGGGTTGAAGACAGCAGGTGGTACACACAGGGTTAAAACAACATGACACGCCAAGACGTGAAAAGAGAGAGGACGGGCTTCTCAACACTTTTCATTCTGTCGACTAAAGTGAAAGTTTATTGTGTAACTTTTCAGGTTGGGGGTGCATGGAGATCCTATTGTTTTGCTTATAATATTCCACAATATGATATTAAATGTATATAAGATGCATTTATTCAATGATGGGTATTTTTATTGCTCAAAAATACCTTAAAAACATTCTGACTGTGAGTGGGGTCGCCACTTCACAGATCTCACCTGTAAATTGGGCTGGTGGCGTCTACTGCTTGTTTCTGTGGGGATTGAAAAGTGTAATGCCATACTTTGGAATATTGGAGGTAAAGCAAAAACAACTCCATGGAGACAAAAAAAAGTTACTCAGTGCACCATTAAAGGTTTACTAGTAGTCCATGGAGACAAAAGCCAAATCAAGTTAGAGGGTAGACCTGAAGAGAGTTGACCCCTCTCACAGTAAGAATGTTTGTTTCAAGGTATTTAAAGAAATAAAATAAAAACAGATGCAGCAAAGCAATAATGTCTCCAAGCAGGTGGCATACCCCCCACCCACCAGAAAAGTTATAGTGCACCTTTAAGAAACACACAATTGAGTTTAAATAAGCTTGAGTTTCAGATTTTAAAAGATGAAACTGAACAGTATTTGAATAGAAAATGTTCTTTGTAGAAAAAAACATCTTTAAGAATGTTCTGAGAATTTTGTACATTAAAATAAATGTGAAACTGTAACCTAACAGACAAAAAATAACAACATATTGAATACTAAACAGACACGTGCCTGCTACCTGAGTTTGTTGTACTGTGTTGTGAACCACTGGCTGGAGGGGAGAGTGTTTAAGGAGACATTTGAACAAAATAAGGAAGTGTGTATGGTCAGCAAAACTAAAGCAGGTTTCTGGAGTCATTAAAAAGGAAGGAAAGAGCGGAACCACTGTCACTGCTGAAAAGAAGAAGTGGAAAGTCGCCAGAAATCTGAAGTCTGAACTGATTCAGACAGAAACAATTGGAATATAAAAGAATAGCTGAACCAACAGCACATGGCTGACTGACACGAGAGAAGATGTGGCATTCTACTATCTTTAATTTGATGAAAATAATAATGTGATGTTTAAATTATACAGTTTAAGTACATTTAAATTATTATAGTCATATATTTAAATTATACAGTTTAAGTACATGTTGTGTGTGTTTGGAGCCGGGCCAAGTGATTTAGAAAACAACTTCAAAATAATGGCATTGTGTTGAAATAAAACTACTTGTTGTAGAATTAAATAAAGACATAACTGCCATTTCTTATCTACAACATTTTTTGAAGGAATGTTTAAAGTTCTCTTCTATTCTATTAATTTCTAAAAGTGACAAGGTCCATTCTCTTGCTGTATTCATCCAACCACATCACAACGTCTATCCATGGGTTGTAGAATCATGAGAAATCTGGACCGTTGCCATAGTAATAAGCAACCTAATGCAAAAAAAATATACAAACTTTCAATTGGGAAAAGTTCTCAGTTCAGTATTTTGTCTTCAAACAGGAAGCTGAGGCCCATGAATAGTCCTGCCCTCATCTCAGAGATAAGCAGTGGACAAAGGGACCGATTGGAGTTTTTCTGAGTCTAGAATGTGATGATGTCATTCTCTCAGATGGGGGCAAAAGACACATTTCCATATTGATTACATTGGAGTAAGTGACTAGACTCAAAAACCTGCACAGAGCTCGGGATTGTGAAGTCATATCTCAGAATTTTCAGTGAGCGTAATATTAAACCAATAGAGATTTTAAGATGCTAAATACTAGACTTAGTGTTCTTTGAAAAGTTTTCTGACACGATTGACATTTTGCGGCTGATGTCATCAATATTCCCTGAGTGTGTGACGCTAACTAAAAGCACAGGTGAGCTGTTTTAAACTGGTCTCTGTCACATCAGCAGCAGTTTTTCGGTTAGTCTCTCTCACAATTTTGTTACAAATCAAACTCTTGAACATGTTCATGAACGCTCATAATGATCACAGGCTCCTGAAAATGTGCTGTTTACATCCATTTTATAGTTTCTCTTGAGTTTTCAGACTATGTTTAACATTTCTGGGCAGTTTTTGCTAATGCATTTTGTGCATTGTGTCACCATGGTAATTGTTGAACATTCCACCAATAAAGACACATGTACAACACCCCCAGAGTGATGTCACTGTAAAGTATAGATGTATTTACCCACAGTGAATCAGCAGTTAAACAGCTGGTTCTACAGTGTTTTCGTTTACTTTTTAACATCATTTTCACTAACATATCTCTATACTTCCACAAACATGGCGGATTTCCATGGTAACAGATATTTTTTGTACGTTCCATCCCGAGCTCTGTATTACAACAAAAATCTGTATTTGAACAATATTTTAGTTGCCCCGCATATGTGTTAAATATTACCGGCCTATAGAATGTGTTGTCATCTGAAACACAGCATTAGGTGAAGTTGGTGTTACGATGATATTAAAAGTGCATTGCGTAACTTTTCTGGTGGAGGGTCTGTCACCTGCTTGTCTTTGTGATGTTATTGCTTTGTCTAGACTGTTCCATGGGAGAGTTTAAACCTATGTATGTCAAGGGAGACGACTATACGCTACATTACAGGTCAGATCCGTGGAGAAGTGCTCCTATTCACAGAGAGAATTATTGTGCTTTTGCACAATAGAAACATCCATAATGAATAAATATGTTTAATCATGTCAAACCATGGAACATTACAGGAAAAGCAATAACATCTCCATGGATATAAACAAGTGACGCACCCTGAAAAGTTACGCAATGCACCATTAAATGAACAAAATAAATAAATATAGTGTTGTTTCTCAGACCCACCTTCTCCCTGATCTCCAGCGCTCTCTTGCACAGCGGCTCCGCCTCTTTGTATTTCCCTCGCTTTCCGTAAAGAACAGCCAAATTATTCAGAGTCGCAGCCACCTGAAAAACATTAAACACTTTTAAACAGGTTCAAGCTTCACACATTCCCATCTGTCAACTCCTCAGTCACATTCATAATCACTATCATCACTATTTAACTATGTGAGATAGATTTTGAAATAGTAATAAAACAAGATTAGACAATAAAGTAATTGAGTCATTTGCAAACCATGAGAAACGGGAAAAAAGGTGTCTGTAAATGTCTCAGATAATGCAGATTTTGTTTGGAAGATTACAGTGTTTATGGACTTTTAGAAGCTTTGTGTCTGGTTTGTTATAATATAGATGAAATACTTGATCATATTATAATTTAGTATTTCTGCAAAACATAAGGATATGATCTTTTTGATGACATATCTCTTGGCTGCACTTTCAGACAGTATTTGTGGAGAGTTTGTGACATTTTTAGTTTAACCTTTTTTGCATTTTCCACATCTTTGTGTCAGGTTATTTAAATTCAAACAATACACATCAAATTATAGTTTTATAAGAGTTCTTATAAATTTAAATGGTTGGTGAGAGCGTTTGTCCACTGATCAGAAGGTTGGCGGTTCGAATCCAACTCTCGATATTATTAAAAAAATAAATAAATCCTTGGTGGTTGAGCTTTCAAATTCACTGACCCACAAGTTGGAGGTGCGACTCCAGCTCCCACAGATGAATACTGTCATTGTGTCCTTGGGCAAGACACTTAACCCACCTCACCCACTGGTGTGTGAATGTGTGTGTCTGGGTGAATGGGTGAGTGGTTCCTTGATGTAAAATGCTTTGAGAGCCTTGAAGGTGGAAAAGCATTTATTTTCTTTTTTTTACATTTTTAGTTTAAACTTTTATGAAAACTAAACTTAAGAAGTTAAGCTTTTCCCATCTTTGTGGTAGGTTATTTTTAATGATAGACGATAAACTTGATCATATTAAACTTTTATATTTTTTCTCCTAAATTTCAGTATTATCTTGTTGACAACATATCTCTTGGCTGCACTTTCAGATAGTACTTGTGGAGAGTTTGAGTTTGTTTCCTCAGAGCTTGAATGGGTTGTTTACATTTTTATGGACTTTTCACATCTTCGTGTCTGGTTACTTTTAATTATAGATGATAAACTTGATCATATAAAATTTTTATAGTTTTTCTCCTAAATTTCAATATTATCTTGTTGACAATATATCTCTAGGCTGCATTTTCAGACAGTATTTGTGGAAAGTTTGTGATAGTTATAGTTCAAACTTGTATGGACTTTTCACATCTTTGCGTCTGGTTATTTTTAATTATAGACGATAAACTTTATCATACTTTTATAGTTTATCTTCTAAATTTCAATATTACCTTGTTGACGACATATCTCTTGGCTCCACTTTCATACAGTATTTATGCAGAGTTTGTGCCATTTTTGTTTAAACTTTTATGCACTTTTTACATTTTTGTGTCTGGTTATTTTTAATTATAGATGATAAGCCTGATCATGTTATACTTTTATCATTTTTCTTCTAAATTTCAATATTATCTTGCTGACGGCAGATCTCTTGGCTGCATTTTCACAGTATTTATGCAGAGTTTGTGACATTTTTAGTTGTAACTTTCATACACTTTTTACATCTTTGTGTCTGGTTATTTTTAATTATAGATGATAAAATTGATCATATGATACTTTTATAGTTTTTCTTCTAAATTTCAGTATTATGACATACCTCTTAGCTGCACTTTCAGACAGTATTTGTGCAGAGTTATAGTTTAGCATCATGTTTTCCTCTGAGCTCAAACCAGTGCAGTCACATTCTTAGTTTAATGTGAGAAAGAGACATGAACCACAAAACAAAACTGCATTCACCAAAAACACTGTTCAACACACACAATGCTGATCACACGGATCATTACAACAGTTTTACAGAGGGATCTGATTTATACATTAACAAAATGAGCTCTTCTCAGATTTCATAACACACTTTTCATAATAAATACACTGGTGAGACAGAGTTACCAAAAATAAAACTGGTGATAATTACTCAACTTAAAGGGCCCATATTACACTATTTTCTGATCAATGTTATAATAATGTTTCCTCATCAAAAACGGACCTGAAATTGTTTTTTGTTTCATTGTTTTAACACACAAAGCCTGCATATTTAGGCTTTAGGAGTTCTCTCAATCAGAAAACACTCTGTTCCACCTTATGATGTCATACATACAGGAATGCAGTACTCCTGTGTGTTTTTAAACTCCATGCGCCTTCATTAGAATTATTTGGATGATTGCAGCCACTAAACACAACTGTTAACTTGAAAAACACCACTTCATGACATCATAAGGTGGAACAGAGCATTTCGAGCTTTAGAGATGTAGACAGACTAATAATAAAGTGATACTCAAATATGTATAAATGAAACAAAACACAGCTCCAGGTCTGTTTTTGATGAAGGAACAACATTATAACAAGTTTAAAATCTCACACGGCCAATTTTGTATAATATATAACCTTTTACAAAATGTGCTCTTCTCCGCTTTCATAACACACTTTTCATAATAAATACACTGGTGGAGGTGGATAGTGTTACTGAAAGTAGAACTCGTGACCCAAATAATTACTCAACTAAAGTAAAAGCAACTATTAAAAAAAAACAGTGAACAAAACTCCAAAACTAGGAATGTGCTTTGGTGATTGGGTACAACATAAAATAATTAATGAGAATAACTATGCTAAAAACTAATGCAAACTATGAGACAGAAGTTTAAAAAAATAAATTAGAGGAAGTAACAATAAATAACATTCAATTTAGGATTGATTTATTCTTAGTTAAAGCAATATGAGCACGGAAATGATCAACGTCTAGTGAAGGTGAATGGACTTTAAAAACCTGATGAGAGTGAGAGATGTGAACGAAAGAGGAACAGGGACACTGCATTAGAACAGGGTTAATGTCTAAAAATAATTCATTAATAAGAATTGAAGACTTGAAAACTCCTAAGATGTTTCAGATGAACTTTTCTGATCAGGACACTGCCTCTATTCAAAGTGTGATTTATCAGTGGGTAGATTTGAGAAAAGATTTGTGAATATCTAATGATTGTTGTAATGTTTTTTGAGATTTTTCTTTGTGTTGTGTTGAATCAAGTCTGAATGATTGGTTTTGTTGGACTGGAGGCTCTGACCTTCTGTTAAGAGCAGGTGAGGGTCCACACAGCAGAGACCTGTCAGAGGGACTGGGTTTGTTTAAGTTTATACTGACAAACACAGAGGAGGACTGTCTACTAATGTTTAATCCACATTTTATATGTTTTGTACCCTGTTTTATTATTGATCTGATCTGTATGTGTGTATTATCTGCACTGAGACACTCACAGCTGGATGGTCCCGTCCTAAAGTCTTCTCTCGAATCGCCAGAGCATCGTTCAGGAGGTTCGCTGCTTCTTTGTACTTGTTCTGATCCCTGAAAAACACAGAACATATTTTAAGTTAAGAGTTTTCTCTATATCATTTCATTTTGGTCTGGAGTCCTGGAGTGAGTTAAAGCGTTTCTGCACTTGACAATGATTTTCCAAAACTTTTCTGTGACATTTTTGATTAAGGGTGTCAGGTTTTGCCAAATAAAATGTAGTCTTAAAGCAATACTCAAAAGAATAACCAAGTACTGCCAAGTACTGGGATTGAGGGTACTCCTCCAAGAAATTATGAAAAATTGATATTTCCTGTATTTTGGTGGAGTTTAGTTGAGGTCCTGTTTTTGACTCTTCACCTGTTCACCAGAGTCAGTCCCTCCCCTTCCTTCCCTCTCATACCTGTAGACCAAAGACCCCCTCCCCTCTCTCTTCTCTCCCTCTCTCTCCTCCATCCCTCCCTCCCTTCTCTATTCTCCCTTCCCCATCTCCTCCTTCTCTTTTTTTCTCTCCTTCCCTCCCCTCTTTCACCTGTCGACCAGAGACAAGTTTGTTGAGCATAGTGTCTTCCCTCTCCTCCTTCCCCTACTCTCCCTCCCTCCTTTCCTCCCTCTCTCTCCTCCCTCTCATCTCTCACTTGTAGACCAGAGCCAGTCCCTCTCTCTCCTCCCGCCTCCTCCCTCTCTCTCTCCTTGCTCTCATCTCTCACTTGTAGACCAGAGCTTGCATGGTGTCCTCCAACTCTTTCCCTCTCCCCCTCCCATTCCTCCCTTCTCTCATCTATACACCAGAGCCAGTATGTTGACCATGATGTCCTCTCTCTCTTTGTCCCTCTCTGTCTCTCTCCTTTCTCTCTCCTCCATCTCCCTCCCTCTCTCTCACCTGTAAACCAGAGCCAGTATATTGAGTACAGTGTTCTCCCTCTCTTACCCCTCTCTCTTCCTCTCCTCTCCCTTCCTCCCTCTCCCTCCGTCCCTCTCTCTCACCTGTAAACCAGAGCCAGTATATTGAGTACAGTGTTCTCCCTCTCTTACCCCTCTCTCTTCCTCTCCTCTCCCTTCCTCCCTCTCCCTCCCTCCCTTTCTCTCACCTGTAAACCAGAGCCAGTATGTTGAGCATGGTGGCCACGTCTGGATGGTCATGCCCAGATGTTTTCTCCAGGTCCTCCAGAGCCTGTTTGCAGAGGGGCACAGCCACCTCGTAGCGTCCCTGAGAGGCGTACTGGATCACCAGGTTATGGAGGGTCCTGAGGCGCGCGGGGATCTCATATCCTCCCTGCTGAGCCAGAGCTACGGCGGCACTACCGTGAGCTGTGGGGACTGACAGAGGGGGAGAGAGGAGAAAGAGGGAGAGAAAAGGGGGAAAAAAGGGGAGGGAGAGAGAGGAGAGGGAGGGAGACAGAAGGAGAGAGACAGAGGGAGAGAGAAGAGAGGAACAAAGACAGGAAAGAGAGAGAAGGGGCAGAGAGAGGGAGGGAGTACAGAAGGAGACAGAGGAGGGATATGGGAGAGAGGAAGAGGGAGAGAGGAGAGAGAAAGAGACAGAAAAGGAGGGGAGAAAGAGAGAGAGAGGAAGGGAGAGGAGGAGGGGAGATAGATGAGAAGGATTAGAGAGAGGAGGTAGGGGGGTGTAAAGAGGGAGGAAGAGAGGGAGAGAAAGAGAGCGAGGAGGGCGGGGAGAGAAAGAGGTAGAGGGAGAAAGAAAGAGAGGAAGGATAGGCGGTGAAAGAGAGGAGAGATAGGGAAAGGGGAGGAGGGGCAGAGCGAGGGAGGGAGGAGAAGGAAAAAAGAGACATGTTTAACAGAGACATTACACCAGCAAGCGGAAATGAAAGGTCCTTGCCCACAAACCAGATTATGGCTAATGGTGCTACTCTGTCCCTTTTGTTTTGGATTGCAATAAACTACAGTTGACATGGTACTAAAATTTTAAATTTGATTTAACTAAAATTATTCTTTAAGATGACAGAATGGGATTTTTCAACACAAAATAGGTTACTCTTGATTTTATCTCAAGAGACTTCATGGTCAAATAAAAGTATAGTTTCTTTAATATTATCATTTTATAGAGCTGACATAGATTCAGGTTATTCTAAATGTATTCAGAAAAGCTCCAGTTTTGTCCTGATTTTTTGTCTGTATCAATCATCTAAGAGGTATCTAATTTTGATACTAGTTGTAGGATCGATTAATATCTGATTATCGATATTTTGTACAAACCCAATAGCGTCAAACAATTCTGCATGACTTTACCATGATTCATTTCTTGTTCATTTACAAAAACTCTTGCTAAAACTTGCAAATTAGGGGGTTCACACGATCAAACCAAGATGCTCTCCTTCAGTTATGATAATCTGAAAACTGGAGAAATGTAACTGTAATAGCATTTTAGGAATTTGAAGAATTAGTAAAACTCTGTCACATTCAGCATAATTCAAAAAAAGAAAACAAAAGGAGATCAAACCCGAACCCACAAAAACGTTCTCTTCAAGAAAAATGCTGCAAAGAATACTTGAAATACTTGACTAAAACCATGTTCCTGTGAGGCTTGACTTTAATGCTGATAAATGCAGGGCTGTGGTCTTCACCGAAAGCCAAAAATCCCACTTATTCTGAGGCACTTTAATCTCCCACCGCAGAATACTGGGTCTGACTCAGAGCTCCACAGGACTCCCACTGAAAACAGCTCAGATCTCCTCCAGCGCACAGAAGTGATTTTGTAGAAGGAAATGATGCAAAACTTCCTCCTGACAGTGTTTTGGTTTAGTAAGTATTAAATCATATAATGTGAAAGAAATGGGGTGTGAATGTCAGATGGTTTGCACATGATAGTATTTAAAGATGCCACAACCTCTACAGAGAAACCAGATGCACACTCCACATTTGCACAAAAATAAGTTTCATTTTGGTTGAATACTGGATCTCCCTTTGCTATAATTTACACTAAATCTGTTTCTGTTGAGATTGGCTTAAACACTGAGGTCTCTTCCCACAGCTGGAGCAGACTTTTCAAATACTTAAGTCTGAATCTACAATGGTCACGTCTCATTTCTCTTTAATTGCTTCCTTTTCTTTGATTCTTCTCCTCGATTCTACAGGAAATGGGTGAGAAAGTCCCACTCACAGAGGAGACACAGGGAGGAAAGAGGATCTAAACTGCTCACTGAGACCAATAAACTTTGATTCTTTTCTCTGTTGTTTGCCTCCTGAAGCCTCCCTCAGTTTTACTCCTTCCTTCCGTGGTTTTCTTTGGGACAACACTTAATATGACACGGATTGACAGCTGAAAAATGGAGGAACGATGAGAAGAATCAAGGAGAAGGAAGCGAGGAAAGTCTAAAGTCTGGCTCAAACCGGAAGTGATGCGTGACTTACTTCCTGGTGCGGGCTCGTCCTGATCGTCGGGGAAGAGGTCGTCCAGTGTCTCTCTGCTGGAGTCGGAGTCTTTGTCGTCCTGAGAGACAAACAAAGAGTTTAGTAAGAATCATTTTGAACTGAATTAATAACAGAAGCAAAGAGAATCAGGTCATCCCCGGTTCCTACTGTTTGATTTAAAGGTGTGCAACTTGTCCAGTGGAGTGACCGTCACCTTCTTGTCTCCTAGAATGTTCCACAGTATAACCATAAATGTATGAATTTCCATGCAGACGTGCAAGCCAAACTACAGATACATTTGTGAAGAGGCGACCCCACTCACAGTAAGAATTCATGTTTTTAAAAATATTTTTGAGCAAAAAATGACACCTGTAGTTGAATAAATGCAAGACAGATTAGTTTAATGCCATACTGCGGACAATTTAAACCAAAGCATTAACATCTCCATGGAGACAAAACAGGTTGCAGACCCCCTCCAGATGACATTCCTATGTACAGATGTATAACACAATATATTGACGCTGATCCAGGAACATTTGCTGGATCAAGTTCAGCTGATATAGGTGCTAGAGCCTTTAAAGGTGCACTATGTAACTTTTTGGTTGAGGCTCTGTCACCTGTTTGTTTCCATGGATATGTCACTGCTCTGCCTGGAATGTTCCACAGTATGACAGCATGATTTGTTTTAATTGAATTACAGGTGGTTCTATAGCTTAAAAATACCTAAAAAAAAACAAACAGACATTCTGACTGTGAGTGGGGTTGCCTCTCCGCAGATCTGACCTGTAACTTGGTTTGGTTTCTATGATGACAGAAAGGTTTAATGCCATACTGTGAAACATTCCAGACAATAATAACATCTCCATAAAGAAAAGCATTTGATGGACCCTCCAACGGAAAAAGTTACATGATGCATCTTTAATTGAATGTAATAAGACTGAGTGGCTGATGTTGGCCCAGAACGCCTCATAATAAGATTAGATTAAGGTACACTTTACTGTCCCTGTAAAAAAAAAAAAAAAAAAATCCTTCAGTGTGTCTGGGTTAAATCTGTCAAAAGCGACTTGTGATACATCTCCACATCTTGACTTAGTCTTGGTCGGGATCTTAACTGGAGGATTTGATCTACTTTACATGTTTTGGGTTGATGTAGCAATCAAAGGAAACCCACCCAGAACATGCAAACTCCACCCAGAAGGACCCCACCACCCCTCTCCCCTTCTCCCTCCTTCTCCCTCTGTGGTGTAACCCCTCCTTTCTCCGCCTTCACTCACGCTGGGGGACAGGTCCTGGTCGTACTTCTTCAGCTGGTTCATAAACTCCAGGTGTTTCTTCTCCTCCTCCAGCTGCGCCACGCTCTGCTCGCTCCTCTGCAGCTTCTGTTGAGTTCCGGCCAGTTCGTCTCGGAGCCACTGGTTTTCCTGACACAGCCTCCGAACCTGAGCGCGCAGCTTCTGCTTCTCCGACTCCACCGCGCTCAGGTGACTCGACAGCGCCATCATCACCTGGGACGAGTGAGAACATTATGGAGAGTTAGTACAGAAACCACAGCTAATTCTTGTTGGACCAAAGACATGTCCTGCCAATCCATCAGTAGACTACAGGGGGCGTGGCAAAAGGGCTCAAAACTATATACTCTATGTAACTCCATTTCACACTTTATTTCTAGAGCACATTTCAAAAACAAAGACTGTTTCCAAAGTGCTGCACATAGAAAAATAAATCTACAATTTGACACAATAAAAAATATAATAAAACCAATAGAGTAGAATACAATTAAAAAACAGTAAAATAGTCCAATACGAATAAATAAATTTAATAAAACAAAACACACTGCTCCCACAGAGAATAAAAAAAACAACAACAGTCCACTATATCTGACCCCAACTGCACTCACAAAACTACACCTGCATGACAAAAAACTACTACTCATGCAAATACTACTATTTATGCAGTACTGCTAGGAAACTATGTATTTATGTAATGTGCCTTGTTTTTGTGTCCAAATTATCTGCTCTGTTTAGTTCAGTGCAAACACCTCGGTGCAATCGGCATCATTTGTTTAGATGAAGTGATGTGTTCGGGAGCGTCAGGACATCAGTGTTTCTATTTAAAGTCACTGTCCCCGGTGTGATTTGAGTCACTTCAACCCAGCCCGAGGGAGGATAGTCTGCCAGTGAATCACAGACGGCTAATTCATTAATACAGGAGAATACGGTGGCCTCCCATAATCTAAAATTCTTCGCCATCGTCTAAAACAACCTGAACTACACATCATCACAAAATCACACTTTGTTACCCACTGTCTTATCATAAACAAGTAAAAGTAACTACACTGGGATAAAAAGTCTAACCAGAACCAATGATGGGTATTTGATGCTATTTTTGCTACTTATTTAGAATTTATTTTTACCATTTATACGTTTTCCTCTTTGTTATTATATCATTTTGTGATGTGTGAGCTACTGTCTAAGTCTGTCTATGGAAAACACTGCTGAAGCTTGTGTTGAATAAATGACTGATGCTCCTTTTAATGCTGTGGTTTCCCCTGTGACATTTCCAACAGTCATAGATCACTGTATTAGAGTTGTTTACAGTGAATTCCTGCTTTAATCCTGGTTTACTGTGGGTTTAATACATTTTGTGCAGGGCTTGCAGAGGCAGGATCAGTGATAGTGATTACACGCACGAACGTGGTAGGTGGAGGTGGGTAGGGCTGAATAATAAAGGCAAAATATCAAACTTTTCACTTTCTGGCTTAGCTGTAACCATACGCTTTTCATATTCAGAATAAATCTATAACACATGTGGATCATTCATTCAGCATCACGTTCAAAACTACTGAACTGATAAGCTTCTCTTCCACTGTAACAAGCTGCAACACTTGGATGATTTGTGCTGTTAAAGTCGCTCACACATAAAATTACAGTTACAGACTAGCTAGCATTAACCAACAGTTTTTCAGTTGGTCACTCTCACCTAGAGTCTTTAGTTAAGAATCTAACTCTTAAAAAGGACCATGAATGCTATATTGATCACTCGAACTGATATCAGCCTCCTCAAAATGTACATTATATATATCTTCTTTAGTTTTCAGATCACTTTTTTGGCAGTATTTGCTAATGTGTGCATTGTGTCACCATGGTAACGGCTCAACATTTTGCCAATTAGGGCTGGGTATCATTAAGAACTTGCCGATTTAATACATACATCGATACATAGGCCACAGTATGATACTTTTTTTCAATACAGTGCACTTTCGATTCAATATGATTGGATAAGATATATTTCAAATTGATACGATACAGTTCCGTGATAAACAAAGGCTAAATCATGGCTGTGATAGTAAAACTCTACAAGTCTGCTAAGTCTACAAAGTTTGTGCAAACTTAATAAAAAACACCAATTTTACTCACCAAAACAGTGAAAATGTCAACACAATTGTAGCTGTTACACAAAATAATTTAGCAAAATACACCTACAAATACTCTACTTGGCGGTATACCGATACAGCAGCCCATGATATCAATACTGTATCATTAAATTAAACTACATGATATATCGATTTCAATGTTTCTGTACACCCCTGTAGCCAATAGAGACACATGTAGAACACCCCCAATGTGATGTCATCAAGTATCAATAGAATGTTGTGGTGCATCTGAAAACAAGCACTTGTGCAGCTCAGAAATTGGCCATAAAAAACCCACGTATCAGTCTTTATGTCTGTGACTCACCTGAGCCTCGCTGAGTCCAAGCTCCAGCATGTCCAGACTCTTCCTGATCATGAGGCTCTTCTCCTCCACCAGCTCAGACTGAGGCTCTCCCTGTAGCGCCCCCTGTGGGTGAGCCTCGGACCCGCTCTGTTTAAAGCACTGCAGTGACCCCAGCAGACCGTCCAGTATGGAGGTGTGCTCCTGCTTAAGGGCCTCCAGACCCGCCACCACCTGCCGAGTCCGGGACACGATCTCATCCTGGGTCAAACGCTCCCCCGGGTCCCCCTCCTCCGGCTTCACACACAGCACCGCGGACATGTCCTCACGCATCCTGCAGGGGGAGACAAAGGGACATGTGACAACAATTAAGACCAAAAGCAGCAGTTACATAGAGAAGGTTGACCTTTTTTTTTTTGTAAAGAGTCAATAGATACAAAAGCAGCCCCATGTTCACTTCCTATTTGGAATGCTGTGAGGCATTCCAAACATTGCAGGTTAGCTATGCCCATTTTTACAGACAGCATATGGATAATATATGCTTCAAAGACTAAAACAGCACTTTATCAAGTCTTGTTCTTATTATAATCCACAAAGGAAGCTATAAACATCAAAAAATGTTGATTGTCTGAGTCTCAACTTCTGATATTTCTCAATACAATACAATCAAAATGTTCACTCTATGTATTTACTGATGTCATTTGTATCATCAGTAAATACAAATAAATAAAACTTGTACTTCTGTAATAAACCCTGGTCCTCAGTCTCCCCTCACAGCTGCTGTCCTCACACTAGAGCCACTGTCCCACTCAGGCCCAGACACAAGCAGCCTTCTACTCTCTCTCTCTCTTCTATCTGTCTTTCTGTCTATCTATCCCCCATCTCTTCCCTCTCTACTCCCTCTTTTTCACTACACTCCCTCTTTCGCTCTCTCTCGTCTATCCAAAACATGCACCACAGGTCAAATTCTCCAGCTAAGGTAGTCCTCCTGACCATAGTCTGTATAAAGAAGTGGACAAAGTGAGTGTGACATCACTTCAGCTCCAGTCAAATGAAGCTCATTGAAGCTGGAAGTTATAGGAGCAAATTTGAAGCACAGTTGCATATTAGGCTTAGGAATTGATTTACAGACAAAACAGCAAAATAAAAACACCAGAATCATGTAGAGCAGGTTAATAAGAATATTTTAAAACCAAAATGAGGAGACTGACAGCAGCGGTTACAGAAAGAGATGACAGAAACAATTATCAGTACCTTAACCTTAATCTTTCTATCACTTCTGTCTCCTTTCCTGTTCTCATTTTCTCTGTTTGTCTCTACAACACTCACATCTTCCTCTTTTTCTCTGCCCTACCTGTCTCTCCTTTCCTTATCATCTCCTTTTTCACTTTCTCTCTACCACCTTCATCTCTTCTTTCACTCTCCCTTCTTTTCTACCTTTCCTCTCCTCTGCCTTTCTTTTTTTTACTTCTTCACTACTCCCCTATCTCTCTCCCCTCTTTTTCACATCTCTCACTGTCTCCTATTTTGCTCTCTTCATTCTCTCCTCCACTCTTCTTCCTTGCTCTATCACAGTCTTTCTTATCCCTCCTCCCTTCCTCCTCTTTTTCTCACCCTCCTCTATCTCTTGTCTTTCATCTCTCTCACTCCATCTCCCTTCTCATCCCACTCTGTCAAGGTCTACTCTTTCACTCTTTATTTCTAACCCTCTACTCCTTCTTCCTGTCTTTCTCCTCCCCTCATTCCTGATACTAAGGATTAGACTTGACACTCAAAACTGATTCCGATACCAGTATTATAATAAAAAGTATTTAGTTTCAGTACTGGTTTTAGTATCGATTAGGATCTGATTTTCAATACTTTTGACAAGCCTATTTCCATTAACAGTGAATCTTTGTGCTCTTTGTGTGTTTTGTGTTGGTTAAACCTGTAAAACCAGCTCACTATAGAAAAGTACTGCACCTCTCCTGCACCAGACCAGAGCTCACACTTACATAAGGAAAGGATTATTAGATTAAGATTATTATTATAACTTTTAATGGTTTAAATACACTTTTACGCATTCACTAAGGCTAAGATGCAGTTAAAAGTTAATGTGGTGTTTGTGTCATGAGTCTGTATGAAGTGAACAGGTAAATATTAGCTGTGAACGCCTTCAAAACAAACAAGGACTAAACAAAGACAATGTAGATTGCAATGAACCATTTCAGACTTTCACTCCTTGGATTTATGTGTTATAAAATACAGAACTCCGCTGTCCAAAATGACAATGGAATATACTTCTGGAACAGTACACTGATTGGAAATATTGTTCAAATTAAAATCATTAATTTCTTTGTTTGTTATAGTTGTTGGAAGGTCATAATTGAAATAAAAGCATATGACTACACATTTAGGACCATTATATTTAAAATTTTACCCAAAATTTTAAACATTTTTTGGACAATTTTGCAATTTTTAGATGTTAAATTTACTTTATGGTTGGAACATCATAATAGGGAGTTACATAACTGTTACCTAGCAATCATGTCATACACTGGGTCAATATCATGTTCAAAGAATGTACACACCAGTCAAAAGTTTGGACACACCCTCTCATTCAGTGCTCTCTTTTCTTTGTTTACTATTTTCTGCATTTTACAACCAAACAGAAGACATCATGAAGCAAGATATAAAGAACTATGTAGCAAAGAAAAAAAGTGAGGATTTGAATTTAAAATATAAAAAATTTCGTTGTTTCAAAGTATCCGCCCTTCGCTTTGTTGACAGAGATGCAAACCGTTGGCCTCCTCTCAGTGAGCTTCTTGATGAACCTGAAATGATTTTCGCTTCACGTGTGCCACATCATAGTCAAAAAATCATGACTATTTTAAAAAATCTAAATTCTGACACAAGTTTTGAGTTATTTTGGAGTTTATTTTTCATAGTTTTGATGCCTCCAGTGAGAATCTACAATGTAAAATGAAGAAGTAATAATGAAACTAAGAAACACGTGCACCCAAACTTTTGACTGGTCGTGTATGTACAAAAACAAAAGCTAAATTTGACTATAAAAAATACTATTTATTTGTCCTACTTTTGCTTGTCTGTTCCCAGGTCCCTGCACCCCTGGTTGAGAAACAGTGCCTTAGCCCACCTTAGTGCAGGAACTTGGAGAACATGAGTCAGTGTCCTTCATCGCGGGACTGCTCAATCTGACTGAAATGATCTGATTTGGGAAATACCTTCAGCAAATATTAGAAGGTTCAAGGTTAAAACTGTACAAAGTTCACACTCGAGAGACAGATTGGGAATATTATTAAAGACTATTTGGTTAATCAGTCAATACGATAAGGCAGGTCACAGTATTCTCAGAAGTACTACATAATAACTGAGAATTTTACAAGCAAAAGTACAGTAAGTAATTTCAATTTAATCTACAAATAAAATGTCCTTTCTAATCAGTCTGTTTTTGTCACATTTAACTGCACTTTCTCCTTCATAAAGTGTGATTTGATGACGCTGCTCACAGACAGAGGAATGTGTTTTAAACCAGAGCCAAATCATGGCTCAGTCCGGACTTAACCCGGATCAACCTAGGACCAAACTAGAGCTAAATCTGGATGAAGCTATAGGGCTGTACTAGGACTATATTAAGACTGGACACTTCATTTAGTCATTGACAAAAGAATTGAAAGCTACATTCTAAATCAATACTAAAACTAGTATCGAAATTAGATACTCATTTGAGCAGGTATCGATACTAAAAAAATCCCATTCACAGGACATAAATGAACCTTCCTGAATAGTTTTAGAATGATTTTGAGCTGAATCAGAACAAGTATAAGAGCACATAGACTAGAACAACTGAAACAACAGGTTATACAAGGACAAAATCATAACTAAATCACAGCTAAGGTAAATTCTACCCTATATCCCAGCCAAATCATGTTTTAAAGTGATGCAAAACAGGGAAGAAGCATTGTACAGCTCAGCCACACATCACATGACAAACAAAACGCCTATAGGGAAATGCTTCTGTCTCTCTATAGTCTGTGCTAGTGTGTACAATGTGCCTGTGTCTGAATACAACATCTCTATACGCTCTAGTTACTCAAAATAATCTACACATGTTTATTATGAACTGACCCCGAACCCTTTATCAAGCCAGGACAGACAGCAAAATTAGGTTAAGTACAATTACAAATCATCTATTACAATTAAACCAGTGAAAACGTTATGTGAAATATACAGAAGATCAGGTAAGGTGAGTGAATAGAAAAACAAGGAATGCTGACACTGAAGATTTTACATTCAAATGAATAATGTTTATGAAAATTTTTTTACAAATTTTGGGGGAAATCTTAGACAAGCAAAGGGCAAATACTTGACTTAATGTTATATTACTAAATAATTTCAAAATCAAGGTAGAAAAGGCAAGTGAAACTACATTAAAGTCTAATTATGTTTAACCTGTGATTATTTTACAATAGACATCGTGGTAAAACCAAAACCACAGTTCAAAACAGGCAGATAGTCTTATGAAAAATGACTGTAGTTACAAAATTCTCTTCTTTTCTTATTAATACAATGCTTAATACATGAGTAACTAATCATGTGTGCAAAAAACAATGTATAAAACAAGCAACAAGATGAGACAGAAGTGAAATTATGGTTAAAACACAAAACTGGAAAGTGTAAAAACTCCAAAACTGTCAGAAAAGGTAAGTGAAACTACATTAATGTCTAATTATGATTAACTTGTGATTATTTTAGAACAGATATAGTGTTAAAACCAAAACTACAATTCAAAACAGGCAAATAGTCTTATGAAAAATGACTGTAGTTAGAAAATTCTGTTCTTTTCTTATTAGTACAATGTTTAATATATGAGTAACTAATCATGTGTGCAAAAAACAATGTATAAAACAATTTACAAGATGAGACATTAGTGAAAGAATGGTTAAAACACAAAATTAGGGTTAAACTGGAAAGGGTAAAAGGTTCAGAACAGTCAGATTGTGTTGTAAAAATGGCTATAGTTAAAAAATTCAGCTCTTTTCTGATTAATATAATGGTTAATATATGACTAACTAACCATGTGTTCACAAACAATGTATAAAACAAGCAACAAAATGAGACAGAAGTGAAATAATGGTTAAAACACAAAATTAGGGTTGAATTGGAAAGTGTAAAAGCTTCAAAACAGTGAGATAGTGTTATGAAAAATGACTATAGTTACACCAACCTGTTCTTTTCTTATGAATATAATGCTTAACATGTAAGTAACTAATCATGTGTGCAAAAACAATGTATAAAACAAGCAACAAGACGAGACAGAAGTAAAATAAAGGTTAAAACACAAAACTGTAAAGTGGAAAAGCTTCAAAACAGTCAGATTGTGTTATGAAAAATGACTACAGTTACAAAATTCTGCTCTTTTCTGATTAGTACAATACTTAATATATGAGTAACTAATCATGTGTGCAAAAGCAATGTATAAAACAAATTATACGAGATGAGACAGAAGTGAAGTAAAGGTTAAAACACAAAACTGGAGTGTTAAAAGCTGGCTCTGCACGGACTCACCTGACAGATAATGTGCTTAATACATACTAATTCCCCTCAGTTAACGCAAACAAGACTCACCTTTGCGGTCAATTCTCTATTAAAACTTACTTTACCAATGAAAACGCGCTTAAATGTGGTCTTAGTTAGGTTTAGATTCAGTAAAAGCTTCAGAAAATGACTGTTTTAGCTCAAATGCTTAATTAGCCAGTTAGCGTTAATGACACAGTTGTAAGCTAGTCACTCACTCACCGTTCTCTCTTATGACATCCGCTGTCTTCCGAACAATTTTTAACACGTTTTAAAAAATAAACGTTGTGTTATCCAAAAGAAGGGTGAAGTAATAGTTGTTTAGATGTTAAAAATGTAAACTATATCCACTGTCGTCCGTTTCTTTGGGAGATTTTCTGAATAAAACGACGTCTTCCTTGGTTCGTTTCACCGCATCAACAGCCAAGCTAACGCCATAGCAACACCAGGTTTACCGGGGAGCCAATGAGGGGTAAGCCGCTCTCCTCGCCCTCCATGTCGGCCTGAAACTGCCCGAAAAGTGGGTCAAACGCGGTTACATGGAGCTGGGAGTGGTCCGTGAGGTCGCCAGCCCCCCCGGCCCTGGGGTGGTGTGTTTTTTGTGGAGGTTTTGTTGACAGAAAGAGGAGTTTATTGGGGTTGTTGGGAGCAGCGGCAGGCGGAGAGAGAGCCGCGGGGGAAAATGGCGCTATACCCGGCCTCCCCCCCTCACAGTGCCGCGGTGCGTGCTGATGACGGCATGCTCCTCCTGGATCTCTGCTACTATTAGTCAGATTACTAATAAATAAATGGCCAATAAATAAATCCTGATCCTGATGTTATTCTGAATATTACAAACGCATTCAGTTATGTAAAACTAGTGAAGGCAAGAATGCATTCAAGTTGTAGGTAATCAAATAAGTAATCAGTAATGTCCTTTCTTTTACACAAAAAAATGTATAAAACAATTAACAAGATGAGACAGAAGTGAAATAATGGTTAAAACACAAAATTAGGATTAAACTGGAAAGTGTAAAAGCTTCAAAACAGTGAAACAGCGTTATGAAAAATGACTATAGTTACACCAAAATGTTCTTTTTGATTATGTTGATTATAATGCTTAACATATCAGTAACTAATCATGTGTGCAAAAACAATGTATAAAACAACTAACAAGATGAGGCATTAGTGAAATAATGGTTAAAACACAAAATTCAAGTTTGAACTGGAAAGTGTAAAAGATACATTAAAACTCCTATATTACACTAAACGGATTCTTGTGAGCTTTAAGCCATGCCATAACATTGTTGCCTCCTCAAAAACATACCTGGAGTTGTGATTTGTTCCATTCATACATTTGAGTAATTAGTTTGTTCCACCTTGTGATGTCAATGAAGAGGTAGTTTTCAAATTAACAAATACATTTTGCCTTTTGTTTTGTAAAGATAGGGTATTCCACTGCTGAAATCATCCAAATGATGTTAGTGACTGTATATGGAGTTTAAAAACACAGTGGAGCCTGGAGTTCCTGTATTACCACATGACATCACAAGGTGGAACAGGGTTTTTCCATTCTGATAAAATAACTCAGCCTAAATATGCAGAGTCTGAGTGTTAAACATGTGTGAATAAAACAAACAACTCCAGGTCTGTTTGTGATGACTAAACATCATCATAACATAGATCAGAAAATACCATATGTGCCCTTTAAATACAAAACATTACATTCAAATAAAGTTGAATGTAAGTTTTAAGTATTGTAGTAAGATAAACAAAACAAAAATGTATGTATACTTAGGGTAAATCCTTGCTAAATCAAACAGTTTGATACAAATATTAGCATAATGCAAATTAAAAATGTACTGCTTTGAAACTGGTTACTTAAAATAGTGAAATAGTATATAAAAACGAAAACATATTTAGGATATTGCCACTGATAATGATAATATATGCTAACAGGAGCAACAATTAATTAGTTTCAGCTTCTTTACATTTTGAAGACTTGTCAATAAAAAGAGAAAATCTAATGCAAAATGTTATTATAGTTACAATATCCCATCCTTTAAAACAAGTAAAAGATGTAAGGTAGCCCAGAAAATATTCAAGTTTATATTTAGGTATCAAATAAAACTAAAAAGTTGAGATGAATGTGTGGTATTATGCAAATTAGATGCCTTAGTAAGGCTTTAAAAGTAGTGACTTAAAATACTCAAGTAGAAACATGGTAGTAAAGATATCAATACAATTAAAATAGCACCGAGAATAAAGTACCAGAAGCAACTGCGCCCTCTATTGGTCACACACGAGGCGGCGCAATTATTGTTTCTAACTTTTAGAAGCTTATAATTAAACATGTCAAGTTTAAGTCTTTTATATTAAAGTAATTTATTGAGCAAATGATAATTAAACAAACAGGATTTAAGCAGTTTTAATTCACTTTCATGTCGTAGGAGAGCTGCTTTTCTTGTTGTTTCGCGATAAATTCTTCCAGACGTTTTGAAGAACCACTCGCGCCATAAGGAAAGTGATGGTGAAGTTACGTCTGTACCATTCTCTGCACAAGAGAAGGGAAAACAAATTATTATTACATCCATAAAACTGCTCTCCCATCTCATCCCATTCCCTGTACCTCTTCTTTACCATGTGTTCACTGTGTCTCCCCGTACTATAAAAGATAAAATGCCAAAACTTAAACTCACCTGTTGTAGTTTGCGTGCCGTATTCTGTTTTTGTCCAGGAAACTTTTGTAAAACACAGCCATTTCTTCACTGTCCAGGGAGCGTCTTCGTCCTGATGAAGAGGAGTCTATATTAAATCAACATGCCTCTTACAAATGCCATGAAGCTGTTACCTAATGCGTACTGACCTTCTGGATCGCGCCGGGACAATCCTTTTGCATTGAGTTGTGAAACTATAAACAATTCCTTTTCCTGTTAAATAGAAAATCATTATGTACAAGATGTAATTTCATCTGTTCAATTTTGACAATGTATTTTTAATACAATGCTTTTCTGTTTCTGTCAAGTTTTAAGCAATTAATTCTTGCTAATGAAATACCATGCATATTTATTCAACTAAACCTATGTTACATCTAGGAAACTTTTTTATGAAAATTGTAATAATCGCAAGTTTCAAATGAATCTAGTTGGTGGCGCAAGTGATCCTTAATTTTTTTTGTTTTATTATTTATTATTTTTGGAGTAAGAATGCCTCTACCAATCACATAAAGGACTGCTTATTGATGGCTTCTATATATGTTTAGGATAATGCAACAAGGGGAAAAAACGTATTATTATTTGTTTTTTGGCTATGGGGGAATACATTTGTAGTTAAAGTGCACATGACAGGTTAGACTAATAATTTCTCTGAAACATAGTTAACATCATTATATTTAAGATTTTACTAAACTCTCTAAACCAGATCTATAAGAGAACTATTCTAGCTCTAATCTAGGGCTGAATCAGGTCTGAATCAGGTCTAAACCAGGTCTACACTGGGTCTAATCTAGATCTAATCTAAGTCTGAACCAGGTTTAAATCAGGTCTATAACAGGACTATTGTAGGTCTAAATCAGGTCTAAACCAGGTCTATAACAGGACTATTTCAGGCATAATCTAGGGCTGGACCAGGTCTGAGCCAGGTCTAAACCAGATCTAAAAGTGGATTTTTATCATTTCCATTGTCGTTATAACAAGAAAATATCTCAGTTAGGATTAAAAAGTGAATAACATGAACTCTAAATGAGGAAAACCCACAAACTGAAGAGCTCCAAGTCCTATCTGAAGGAGCTAGAATGCAGACAACCAGATAGCAGATACCTCCACCCAAAAAGTTACATAGTAGGGATGGGCATGATTAGTCGATTAATCCATAATTGATTATTAAGAATTTCATTGATTACGTTAATTTTAATCGACAAACCGAATGTAGGTTGCTGTGCGTAGCGTGACCAAACAGGTCTGTACATGTGTCTCTCTGCACTCAAAAGGAGCGAGACACAGTCGGTCAGCCTGCAATGTACCAAAGCACAAATGCGTATTTAACGATGATTTGTACAAGAAAATCCACGCTTTCTGTTGCGTTCGGGACAAGTGTGAGGCCATGTGCACAGTGTATAAAGCAGCACATATGTTTCGGTGTCCAGTGGGGAAAAGTTTTGCCAGGTGAGAGTCGCGCAATGTCAATGACGAGTCCCCACCTCCCACCTCCCGTACGGTGTCCTGGTTTTGACAAACGAAAATCTGGTCACACTAACCTGTATTCACCTGAGTCGTGTCTTTTAATCCAACAGAAATTGACCGCATCAGCGACACAAGAGCTGTAGTTTTATCTTCACTTAGTTTATGCAAATTAGCGATGCCGTTTTAAGTTTGGTTTCTGTGAGAGTTGAACAAAACTGAATTAAACACATTATAATGTCAAACGGGACTGATGTGGCTCTAGAGTCGTTACGGTTTATATGTAGTAATGTTGAATTTATTTATGCAGATTAGTAGTGCGGATAGTAATAATAATGATGATCATTTTAATATAAAAACATTAATGATTAATCGATAATTGATCGTTAATTCTTCTGACGATCGATTAAGAAAATTTCATCAAATGCCCATCCCTATTACATAGTGCAGCTTTAATACTGTATATTGTGTATTGAGTTGTGCCTGCACCTTGGTGAATGTGAAGTTCTGTTTGGCCCAGAATTCGTGGTTCCAGTCCTCTGTGTCCTGCCTCAGTGCCCTCAGTCTCTTCTCCAGCTCCGTCTCTGTCTCCAGGGCTCTGTACACGATGGGACGCAGGTTGGACAGAGGGTTTGGGGGCCCGATCCAGTCGTGAGTGGGGCTGGGGGCTGGTCTCTGGATGGAGGTCTGAAACAAAACAATGCAATTAAAATTCACCTTATTCTGCCCCACCCACTTTTGTCTCTAAATACTTCTCAACCGCGCTTTCTTCTGGTTAAATGGGGATCCCATTAATTTCAATTGAAAATTTGGGAAAAAATTTGCAGATTAAATATGACATAAAGTTAATTTGTGTAAAATGTTCAGTGTTCATGTGCACCAATAAGTCACACTGCACTGATTCTCTGGAGGCTTTCCAGTCCATATTGGCCTTATTTGCTGTTAGAATAGGAACCTTCATACATACATAATAATACAACCAGAATTATTATGGCGGCGCCCCTGGCAACTTCTGGAATAAGGTGAATAGAGCTGCAACAATTCACTGGAATAATTGTGACTTATTGACTACTGTAATAAACAGCTGACAATTTAAAGCAACACTATGTAACTTTCTGAAGCTGGCATGGCACCTGCATGATTCCATGGAAATAAAAAGTTAACACCAAACTACAGAGATACTGTGCAATAAACACACCCAAAATGAAAAAAAAAAAAAATAATTCTAAGAGAACCTGAAGCACGCAAACAGACAAAAGTGTTTTTTATAACAAACACAACTGGACTGAACAACGGGAATCAACGTGGCATTTTAGGGTGAACTGAACACCTCTAACCAATATACTACGAAACTATACACAGTAATTTTAGTAATTGGTAAAAAGTCCTATATCTATAAGGTTTTAACATATGCACATAACATGTATATTATAAATGGGTACAAAATTACTGCTGTTTATCACTTATAAGTTCACTGTTTGTGAACGCATCCTTTCTAGTCAATGTTTCCAGATGGTTGAATACACACAAATAACTACTAACAATGTCTTATATATTTTGAAAGAAGGACTTTACTGAGCCTGAAATCTATAAATATTGAACATGTCAAACCTTGGCCTTTTTCTTTTCTTTACTGGAGGTTGTGGGGGGGCTCGAGCTGCAGAAGCGGCTGTTTGCAGCGGTGAAGTCCGGAGCGCGACGCACGAAAGCCCGCAGCAGAGTCACACCCACCACAGACATGGTTAAGGTGATTTAGAGCCGAAAAATAAGCAATAAACAGGTTTAAATGTGTAAAATATCAGTAACTGTTTGACCTCAGCGGTTCACGGCATGTTTGGGTCTGTGTCTGTCACGTGGTGCTGCTGAGGAGGCGCTACTTCCTGTTTATGTTTTAAATGAGACATAGCGCCACCTACTGCACGGAAAGTGGTACCTCATGTTAAATGCAACAGTTATTATACAGAGCAGAATAATAACATTTTCTACATCATTATGATTCCTTCCATCCTAACCTAGAATAGTAGAAGAAAAATATATGAACTTAAACCATTAATAATGACTATGGTATTAATTGCACTTAAATAATTGGTCTGGTCTCTGGTCGTGATTATTCATTCACTCTGCTGTTACTGAAGCAGTCCTGGGGCAGGCTGATAAACATGTGACATCAAGTCTCTCCAGTCACCACATTTTTGTGCAGGATGACTGAAGTGCCTTACCCAAGGACAAAATAATAATACACCATCAACCTTTCGGATTATACAGTGCCTTTAGATGATTATATTTGTTTTGAATTTATTATAGGCTATGTGATGTTAGTGGATTATTTAAAACAATATTTACAATAGCTGAGTTTCAGCTGACATCACACCATTCTATTATTAATTCAATATTAATTAATACAGACGGTGGGCAGCTTAAAATGCAAAATCATGTTGTAATGCAATGAGTTCTGGGGTTTAGTCAGTTACTGAATCATTGAAAATACCAGGTTCATGATTTGTGAATTTACCTTTTGGATATTTCATGGCAAAGTATAATGTTATCAGTAGGAAAATGTGGCCCATGCCCCACAGAATCTGAAAACTACCAATAAGATACAAGTTCTAAATTGTCAAGTCAATTTTAGTTTGTAAGGCAGATTTAAAAACAACCACCGCTGCCCAAAGTAAACATACAAAAACACAATAAAACAGAACAATACAAAAGTCCCTTGAGCTTGTGTTAAATGCCAGCGCATACAACAACAAAGACTGAAAAATATTTAAAGATTGTGCTGTTCTGAGACTGGGACCAGTTACACTGAAGGCCCTGTCCTCTCTCATTTTTTAGCCAGGATCTTGAAACATCTAAAATCATCTGCTCTGTTGATCTCAAGGTTCTACTGGGAGCATGGACACACAGAAGCTCAGAGAGAGGGAGGGGCCAAACCATGTAGACAATTTAAAACCATCAAAATAATCTTAAAATCATTCCTTAAATGTGCACTGTATTTGGTTGGAGTCGCCTCTCCACAGATCTGACCTGTAACTGTCTGGTTTGACCTCTATGGAGATAGAAAGGTTTAATACCATACTGTGAAACATTCAAGTCAAAGCACTAACATCTCCATGGAGAAAAACATTTGACAGAGATTCCATCAGAAAAGTCACACAATGCACCTTTAAGCTGACAGTTTTTGTATATTCAAATAGTTGGTATATTCTAAAGCTGAAAAAAGTACAGAAGTACAAATAGTTAAAAGCATGTAGTATGACATAGCAGATAAAGTTAAAATCACACCTCAGCTTTTTCAACTTTGTATTTGAGACTGTCCCTTTACCAACAAAAATAAAATTTGTACACAATCTCTACACATTCAAGTAGTACTCCTGCCCCCTAAAGCTTTATATAGATGGTATTTTTGTACAGTCTTGTCTGTGGCCCCACCCCCCAGTATAAGATAAATTATGCAGTTTTTCAAGTTTCAAACACTAAAAGCTTTTTGAGTAGTGTGGGAAAATGTCCATAACCATGCGTGTTAAATCTTGTTCATAGGCTTTCTGCAATTATTTAAATAGCAAACAAATTAAAATATGTAAAAGAAAAATATACAGCAGTGTTCCAGCAGTGTCTTGTTGTTTGAATTGATTAGATTATCAGCTGCTGAGTCATTTTTATTGATCAGCAAATTTCAGTTCACTGTACAGGATTTCATCAGGAACTGACCATTTAACCCCATATACAATGCCTATACACGCAAAAGGGGTGTTCAGAACCAAAAACATTCACATTTTAAACACATTACGAATTAATAACTTGACACGGGTAGTGCTTTAACGTAGTATATGTATGATACATGTTGTTAGGCCCATAATTGGCTTTTATTATTATTCTTGTGCTTAAATATTTGGTTTAGTCCGATAAGCGCCCCCCTCTTTTAGCAGTGTTGGTATCGTCCGGTCGCCGGCTTCTGCACCGCTCTCTACACGTGTCGCCTCTGTTTTGCTAAAAAATTCTGCGTTTTTAGACATTTCTGCGGGTTTTGTTTCGTTTAACGGGGAATAAACTCGTTACAGAGTCGTTGTAGGGTGTTGTCAACATGAAATAATCAATAAATAAGATTAAATTAAAGATTAAAGTGGAAAACGTGTGGAAACCGAAGAGGCGTGCTTTGACATACGCTGTGATTGGGGCAGAGTTGGTAAGAATTTCAACACATTTTATGCAAATTTTCTGCATTATTTTAATGCATAAAGTATATATTATACGCCTTTTGTGTTTGCTGAATAGATTGTGTTTTTTAAGCTGACAAAAGGGAAAAAAATAGCGGAGTTAGCGAGAGCTTACCAGTGCCACGTAGCTACGCTATTCGGGGTACAGAAAAGTAACAGAATGTGTTGATCTTATAAGAAATAGAAGAATTATACAACATGTGTGTATAGAGTTGCAAAAATGATCCAATATTCCTTCATAAAAGTGGTAAAATAATAAATTGCGATGTCACTGCCATTAAATACTCACCAGTTAAGCGGCAGAGGCAATTGATAGAGATCCTCTTCAAAGGGTGTTTAAATGAGAAAAAATATCAATACATTAATGATCCTTTTTTTATGCAGAATTTCTTCTTGTGAGCTTTTAGCCATGTTATAATGTTGGTCTCTTCTTAAAAACATACCTGGGGATGTGTTTTGTTTCATTCACACATGTTTGAGGAATCCTGCTTTATTTTTAGTTTGTTTACATCTCCAAAGCTCAGTGCTCTGTTTCACCTTGTAGTGGTAGTTTTCATCTTAACAGCTACCTTTTTCCACTTTTATTCAGTAAAGATGGTCAACTCCAGGGCTGAAATTATCCAAATGATTCTAGTGAAGGTGTATGGAGTTTAAAAACATGGCGGAACACTACCTGTATTTGTATTACCACGTGAATTCACAAGGAGGCTTCGGGTTTTCTGTCTGAGAGAAGAACTCCACCTATATATGCAGCCTTTGTGTGTTAAACATGTGTGAATGAAACAAAACACGACTCCAGGTCCATTTGTGATTACATTATAATATAGATCAGAAAATAGGCTCTTTAAGTTGGATTTTATAGATGGATAAGATGGAAGATTTCCACTGTTGCTAAGAATGAAACAGCATTTTTGGCAATTGTCATAACACAAATGCTAGTGTGGATTTCTGTACGTCAGCTAATGCCTCACGTGCCCCCCCTCTGTCTTAATCTGTATTGCTTCTGACAGCTGTTATTGCTTTGCCTGGAATGTTTCATAGTATTGCATTCATCTCACCTTGCATTTATTCAATTGCAAGTGTTTTTATTGCTAAGAAATGACACAGACAGACTCCACTGCTCCTGACAGGTTGAACCCAGAGACACTGAAGGATGGGTCAAATGCAGAGGACACTAACATACCCCTTTCCCTCCTCTCTCTCCCCTCTGTCCCTCCCGCTCTCTTGCCCTCTCTCCTTCTCTCCTCTCTTCTCTTTCAGGTGTGACCATGGTGTGCAGGCAGTGTGGTTCCTCAGAAGTAGACGTAGACCATGCTCGGGGCGTCTCCGTGTGTATGGGCTGCGGGTCTGTGCTGGAGGACAGTCTCATCGTCTCTGAGGTGGAGTTTGTGGAGAGCGGAGGGGGAGGCTCTCTCGCCGTCGGACAGTTTGTCTCTTCACAAGGTCAGAGTCAAAAATCACTTTAATCCTAAAACTACACCCTTCCAATTGTTCTGAGCTGTGTGGCCATCAGGTCTAGTGTAGAGTGAGGCTTTTGAATTGGATTGTGCTGACTGTAGTTGCACAGAATGAACACTAGATTGAGTCACAACCTCACATTCATGTCCCTGCAGCAGAGGGCAGACATGTGGACCAGGCTTATAGTGCTGTTGTACAAATTACTTATTTGGGACACTTTCTGTTAAGAGATTAAAAAGGACGAGAGAGAGAGTGAGACAGAGAGAGGCGGACAGAGAGAGAGGGAGATGGACAGAGAGAGAGGGAGGCGGACAGAGAGAGAGGGAGATGGACAGAGAGAGAGGGAGGCGGACAGAGAGAGAGGGAGACGGACAGAGAGAGACAGCGACGGACAGAGAAAGAGAGGTGGACTAAGAAAGAGAGGTGGACAGAGAAAGAGAGAGCCAGAGAGAGGGAAACGGACAGAGAAAGACAGAGACGGGGACAGAGAGTGAGAGACAGAGAGAGAGACAGTTTATTTTTTAATTGAAATTCAAATTTTGCTGCATTTTTGCTCAAGTTGAATACTTCATGTTCATTGGGTGAATACACAGACCACATCTGGAGTGAATTCAGAAATCATGTCAAAGTTAATCCTCCGCTGAGAGTGTTTGTCCTGGTTCATAATAATAAAATGTAAAATGCTACAGTACAACACATGGTAAATTACAGTTTAAAATACAGTAGCTGTGGGCTTTTCTAACAGGTCATTTGATTGAGAGCTCTAATACCCTTTTCTGTATTAATGCTGATTGTCTTTCGTGGTTTAGACCAGTCCTCATTTAATGATGTTCATGCAATAAAATGACATTATGAAACTGTAGTAAACTGGATTTAATTCATCCATATTTGATTCCCTGATGTTCCTGTTGTTTTCCAGGTGGATCCAGAGCTCCCACATTTGGAGATTCCCACATTTCTTTGGGCCGAGAGTCCAGAGCTCAGACGCTGCAGAAAGGTGAGCCACCACCAGAGGGCGCTACACACCCACAGTCAGACAGAAGAATAGCGACTTACACTGCACCACACACAAACACTGATCAGATTCATTTGGATTTATTTGTGGAAATAAGGACGCAGTTATTTTGACTTTCCCACAAATGTAAAGAATGGTGCATGGGGAAAATGAAGGTATATTAAATTAGTATTGATATGACTTTTGCTCTGTTATATCTGTCTGTTTAATATTTATTCAGCCTCTCAACAAAATCTTCAGAAAGACAGTAGAAATGGTTTAGTCCTGGATTAGCCCTGCTTTAGTCCTAACTAGACATTTCATCAGTACCATCTGAGGTACACACTAAAGGGATATAGGAGAAGAGGATGGGAGGGCATCTGACGCACACGGTTAAAGGAGGATAACATCTGACACTCAGGGATACAAGTGAACAGGAGGGCATCAGGGGACCTTAAACTTTTGCAGCCCGTTGTGCATTGCTGTGTTTTTCTGTAGTATGTATGTACTTATTTTTAAAAAGTTTTCCTTGTGTTACACTGTGCAACAATTTGCTCAATTTAAAAAATGAAATGAAAACTGAAATATTACCTTGTCTCTTGTAGCGAAGACCCAGATCACGATGTTGGGGCAGCAGTTACAGATGAACCAGCACTGTCTGGACACGGCATTTAACTTTTACCGAATGGCTTTGAGCAAAGGCCTGACTCGAGGGAGGAAGAGCGTGCACGTGGCTGCTGCCTGCCTCTATATGGTCTGCAGAACCGAGGGGACGCCACGTATCCTTATAATATTTAGTTTGCAGAGTTGTCAAAACTATTCAAAATCATGTTCTAATCGATACTAAAACTAGTATCTAGACCACAGGTGTCAAACATACGGCCCGGGGGCCAGATCCGGCCCTCCAAAACCTTTAATCTGGCCCTCGGCTGATTTTCTACTAAAATATTTTAATACTATTTTCTATTAAAATATTGTTAATTTTCTGCGGTGTTTATCACAGCAGCGTCTCCAGCGTCTCTGTACGTGGCCCCTCCCACCAGAGCAGCACAAATGAAGACTTGTGTCTTTCCAAACGCTCTTAAAGGACGATCGTTTTGACTGTTGACCGTGACACCCTCATCAGAAAAATGTCCAACATGAGAAAAGTGGAGCCAAGTGCAGGATTTTCCAAAAAAATTGACTTATTCTTATTTGCAAATAAGTTCATGTTAAAATATTGTGTTGAAATTGTATTTTTCTTAAAGTTTCAGGTTGTTCATAATATTATAATATTTTGTAAAAGAAAGAGTTAATCAATTTAGAAAGATTTCTGTAATAGATTTGTGTTTCTCTGCACCAATATTTTAACTTATTGTTATTTTTGGAGTTTCTGTGTCATGAGTTTTCTGATCCGGCCCCTTTGGGATCAAAGTAGGTTGGATACGGCCCCTGGACCAAAATGAGTTTAACACCCTTGATCTAGACACTCATTTTTCGCAGGTATTGATACTAAAAAAGTCCCATTGATAGGACAGAAATGAACCTTTCCTGAATGTCTTTAGAATGAAGTTGAGCTGTATCAGAATAAGCACATAGACAAGTATACACCCATGGAGCACTATGGAACCTACCTGCACCACTGAGGGATTACACACATATAAGAACACATGGGAAGAGAAAAGAAAGTACTACCATTCAATGTTTAAAATCACATATTGTCTAATGGAAAACAATTTTTTTTATCATCATAGTATTGAAATCTGTGTTGAGTATCAGATGCTTTGTGATTTTCTATTTTAAGAGGCAAAAGAGTCAGAGGGCTTGTGTTGTGAAAGGGATTCTGAGTCTTAATGGGACTCCCTGGTTAAATACAGGTATAAATAAAAATGAGTCATCTGCTTCTTCTGAAAGTTCATTCTTCACTGTGATTGGTTAAATCCAGCTGTCACTCACTCAGATCCTTACAGAGGCTCACCTATAGGAGAAGAAAGGGCATCTGACACACAGGGACACACACTACTGTAAACAGACTAATAATAAAGTGTTGTTCAAACATGTGTAAATGAAACAAAATACATGACTTAATCCTCACAAGAGTCAATTTTGTGTAATACTGGACCTATAAAGATTGTGGATAAATATTACTGCCCTAATTTAACCCGTCCTTTATTAAGTGTCTCTGGGTTAAATCTTTGTATATTGTGCTGAAAAGGATTTCCTCTGCTCTTTTGTGTTGAGTTCTTTGACTCAGATTCCTCAGACATGCTTCTGGACCTCAGCGACTTGGTGCAGGTAAGAAACAGCTCAAACTCTTCTCTTTTACCAGGAATGATTTTGGTCTAAATAATATTGGAGGATTAACAGTAATAAAGTATTGATTCAATATTGAATATTTCTCAGATATTTTATTCTGCATCAAATTAGTTTTAGTTACAATGGAAATTATTCTAAACATTTTGTCATAATTTTATTTGACTTTTTAAAGCTGGATTAATGTCTGAAAATACCAGTCACCGACCAGAGCAGCAAACAGAGCAGCTGTTTCATTCACACATATTTAACACACAAACCCTGCACATTTAGACTTCTCAAACAGAAAACACTCTGTTCCACCTTGTGATGTCATGTGATAATATAGTAAGTGCTCCACTGTGTTTTTAAACTCCATACGCCTTCACTAGAATCATTTGGATGATTTTGGCTCTGGAAATGACCGTCTCCACTGGCAAAAAGGTAAAAGGAGCTGTTAACTTGAAAACCACTGCTTCATGACATCACAAGGTGGAAGAGAGCAGTTTGAGCTTTGGAGATATAGCCAGACTAATAATAAAGCAGGGGTACTCAATATGTCGATCACCAAAGTACTGTAGGTAGATCGCAGTGCTGTAGTACTCGTCTCGGACTCGGGCTCGGTCTTGTCTCTCGCCCGAGGTTTGACACTCGACATGTGTGATCATATTTCATTACGGCCTCTGCTGTCAGCACTAAACTTGTACCACCATGCGGGAGCGAGCAGGGCATCTCATTGCAGCCTTTAGAACCCGCGGATACTGTGCAGCACATCACAAACACACACTCCTTACGCACGGCTCGTCTGCAGCAGCGTGTGCCCTCGTGTACCAGCGTGTATCACAGGGCAGGTTAAACTTCCTTAAACATCCTACCTGTCCATCTGCCTCTCATCAGCACGCCGCTCCTCGCCTTTTCACCCTCCTGCTCCTCCTCGTGTACAGCGCACACAGGCTCCCTCCTCAATGCACTGATTAGAAAAGCAAGAAGAAATGCGAAGCAAAAACTCATCTCAATTTATGTTTCAGTGTTGGTACAGAGGAGCCTCCAGCACAGAACAGGCCTCTCGTGACATGTGGCTGAAGTTTGACTAATAAAAGTGCATAAATGCATCTGTATTTGTCACACTGTGCCTTTGATTTGGTAAATGTGCAGAGGCTGGTAAATCCAACTGCAAAACCAGTAAGAGAGTGTAACTCCAGTTAGGAACTTGAAAAAACAAGTTTAAAAATCCTACACACTGTCTTCTCTCTTTTCATAGTTTTGTGTAAAGTGCCAGTGGAATTTCTCTTAAATAGATGCAGAGTGTGTCAGTGCAGAACAGTTTGCTTGGCTTTGTAGTGGGTAGATCATTTTGACTTGGTCATTTTAAAGGTAGCTTGCATGCTGAAAAAGTGGGCACCCCTGTAATAAAGAGTTACTTCAAACATGTATGAATAAAACAAAACACAATTCCAGGTCTGTTTATGATGAGGTAACAACATGCTAAAATTGCTTAAAGCTCTCAATAATTCATTTGACGTACTTTTAAATAGTTGGTAGTGTGTTCCCACCTATGCATTCTGTGGTAGTGTTGTTGAGCAAGACAACATACTGGGTTGGTCTCTATTGTCTTATATATTGTGAACATTTATACTGAGGAATAGAATCAGGTACTAAATAACTGGAGCCGAGTGCATCAGCTGGTTTTCTCTATATGATTAATCGAACTTTGTGGCTGTTTTCTTTTCACTGGTTCTGTTTTTGGTTTGGTTTGTTTTGTTTTGCTGCCACTTACCACATTATGTTAAGTATTCTCAACATTTAAAAAATTCAAACTCCACCCCTCTGCCTACTGTGCCCTGCCCCGCCCGAGAGCCCAGGAGCCCGAGAGCCCGAGAGCCCGGGGCAGAAGAGGGAGTGCCCACGTTTAAACAACTGTAGGGTTAAAAATACTAAAAATACTACAGCCAAATGAGCAGCTGTGAGAGAGACATGAACCAGAGGAGACCACACCCAGACACTGACCACTCCTGTACCCCAAAACATGCACCAGAGGGAGGGGGAGAGGGAGGGAGAGAGAGGAGAGGGGGAGGAGGGGAGACAGAGGGAGAAAGCACCCAGAGACTGACCACTCCTGTACCCCAAAACATGCACAGCACAGAGGGAGAGAGGAGGAAGAGGGGAAAGAGGAAAGAGAGGGGAGGGAGGAGAGAGAGAGTGAGAGGGTTTAGAGAGGGGAGAGAGAAAAGAGAGAAGAGCGAGGGGTGAGAGGGGGAGAGAGGAGAGCGAGAGGGGAGAGAGACAGAGAGAGGGGAAAAGGGAGAGAGAGGAGAGGAGAGAGAGGAGAGACGAGACAGGGGAGAAGGGAGAGAGAGGGGAGAGAGGGAGAACTGAGAGAGAGAGGCGTGAGAGGGGTTAAAGAGGGGAGAGAGAAGAGAGAGGGGTTAGAGAAGAGAAGAGAAAGAGCGGGTGGGAGAGAGGAGGGGGACAGAGGAGGACCACACCCAGAGCCTGAACCACTCCTGTCCCACTCCCCCCAAACACGCAGCGGACAGAGAGAGAGAGAGAGAGAGAGAGAGGGTGGAGGGTGGAGGGGGGGGGGGGAACTATTTTTAGAGCAATGGACCAGGGCGTTTTAAGAGAGGCAGAGGGGGAGAACGAGGGGGAGGAGGAGAGGTACAGAGGAGACCAAATCTGGATGAAACTTCGACAAATATTCTTAAATGATTCAGTCTCTGGTGTGGTCCTGGTTCGGTCCCTGGTTCGGTCCTGGTTCGGTCTTGGTTCGGTCTTGGTTCGGTCCTGGTTCGGGCCTGTTATTGTTACACTCCTGAGCAGATGTAGTGGTCCCCAAATGACTTTCTTGTTATTTTTGTCATTTTCTTGCAGCCTTGATCTCGCAGGTGCAATGTTTGTGAATGAAACACTGAATAATGATCTGCTAATTTAGTCCCGGTAAAGTTCATGGTTTGGTTCCTGCTGTAGTCCTGTTTGAGTCCTAGTTGAGCCCTGGTTCAGTCCTGGTTCTGATGTAGTCCTGGTTTTAGTCCCTGGTTTGAGTCCCTAGTGTAAGTCCTGCTTTTGTACTGTTTTAGTCCAGGTTTACTCCAGTTTTAGTCCTTTTTTAGTCTTGGTTTCATCCTGGTTTTGTCCTGCTTTAGTCCTGCTTTAGTCCTGCTTTAGTCCTGCTTTTAGTCCTGCTTTAGTCCTGCTTTAGTCCTGCTTTTAGTCCTGCTTTAGTCCTGGTTTAGTCCTGCTTTAGACCTGGTTTAGTCCTGCTTTTAGTCCAGTTTTAGTGCAGTTTTTAGTCCTGCTTTAGTCTTGGTTTCGGCCTGGTTTTGTCCTGGTTTTGTCCTGCTTTAGTCCTGCTTTAGCCCTGCTGTCCTTTTTGTGGTCCTGGTTTTAGTCTTGGTTTTGTTCTGTTTTAGCCCTGTTTTAGTCCAGTTTTAGTCCTGCTTTAGTCCAGTTTTAGTCCTGCTTTAGTCCTGCTTTTAGTCCAGTTTTGGTCCAGTTTTGGTCCAGTTTTGGTCCAGCTTTAGTCCTGCTTTAGTCCTGCTTTTAGTGCAGTTTTAGTCCAGTTTTAGTCCTGCTTTAGTCTTGGTTTTGGCCTAGTTTTGTCCTGCTTTAGTCCTGCTGTAGTCCTTTTTTAGTCCTGGTTTAGTCCTGGTTTTAGTCCTGGTTTTAGTCTTGGTTTTGTTCTGTTTTAGTCCTGTTTTAGTCCTGTTTTAGTCCAGTTTTAGTCCTGGTTTAGTCCTGGTTTAGACCTGGTTTAGTCCAGTTTTAGTCCAGTTTTAGTCCTGCTTTAGTCCTGCTTTTAGTCCAGTTTTAGTCCTGCTTTTAGTCCAGTTTTAGTCCAGTTTTAGTCCAGTTTTAGTCCAGTTTTAGTCCAGTTTTAGTCCAGTTTTAGTCCAGTTTTAATCCTGCTTTATTCTGGTTTAGTCCTGGTTTCATCCTGGTTTAGTCTTCTTTTAGTCCAGTTTTAGTCCAGTTTTAATCCTGCTTTATTCTGCTTTGTTCTGGTTTAGTCCTGGGTTAGTCCTGGTTTAGTCTTCTTTTAGCCCAGTTTTAGTCCAGTCTTTTAGGTTTAGTCCTGGGTTAGTCCTGGTTTAGTCTTCTTTTAGTCCAGTTTTAGTTCTGGTTTAGTCCTGGGTTAGTCCTGGTTTAGTCTTCTTTTAGTCCAGTTTTAGTTCTGGTTTAGTCCTGGGTTAGTCCTGGTTTAGTCTTCTTTTAGTCCAGTTTTAGTTCTGGTTTTTAGTCCTGGGTTAGTCCTGGTTTAGTCTTCTTTTAGCCCAGTTTTAGTTCTGGTTTTGTCCTGGGTTAGTCCTGTTTTGTGGTCGTGCAGGTGCAGTGTTTGTGAATGGAACAGTGAATATTGATCTTTAAATTTATGCTCCATCTGTTTTGCTCCTGCTCAGTGACTCCTCCGTCTCCTCTGACCTTCTGCTCTTTAACTCGGGTTTGTAAAGGAAAACATCTGCCACTGATCTGACCCACTGTTCAAGAGTCAAATGGTGAGAGTTTTGTCCATGAAAATAAAATCGATCTTCATTTGAGGCTTGGAAACTCAGAAAAATCCTGTTTTCTTCGACCCTCTGTACTAAACAGTGAGTATTCAAAAAAGGAATACGATACTTGAAAACCCGCTGCGTGCTACGGTGAGATTTTGGTTTTAGATCAGTATCTCAGTTTACAGTGAACTAAATGTAAAACAATGATCCAGTGATCCCCGAAACCCAAGGACTGAACCAGGGACTGAACCAGACCCTCTTCTGTGTTCTTCTGATCAAAGGGAGTTCAGCGTGACCTTTGACCTGGTCACATTCACTTAGCGTCCCCGTGGAAAGTTTAGAACTCGAGTTTCATTTTTCCTACGGGACTCAAAACTGGACAAACTGTGACAGACACTGCAGATCCGGTGTCAGAGTTTGGTTTAAATTTGGAAAATGGTTTAAATGCTTTATGTTTTCTGTTTAGTCCTGGTTTGGTCCTGATTTGGTCCTGGTTTATCTTTGGTTTGGTCC